CACTTGGTAGCCCAGGCTGGCCTCGAACTCACAGAGATCCACCTGGCTCTGCCTCCCGAGTGCTGGGATTAAAGGCGTGCGCCACCACCGCCCGGCTAGACTATATATTTTTAAACAATAATTTTAATTAGAGGCTAGAGCGATGGTTCGGTGGTTAAGAGCACTCACAGTTCTTACAGATGACCCAGGTTCAGTTCCCAAAACCCACATGGTGGCTCACAACCATCTGAACTCCAGTTGCAAGGGGATCTGATGCCCTCTCACTGGCCTCCATGTGCATCAGGCACACATGTGATGCAGATATACATGCAGGCAACACACTCATACACATAAAAGAAGTAAATCTTTTCTAAAAATTAATAATTTTAATGACTATAATATAATGCTATTTAGTATAACGTAAAACTGTTTAGCAACTATTAAAAAACATTATGTCTATTGCTTTAGAAAGATATCTGGATATCTTCTAAAATAATAATTAATTATAAAAGTGCTTGTTTTGTTTGAAAAAGACAAATCCATAAAAAGAGTCTGGGGATTCAGGTAAGCAGTAAGGAGGTATACTAATACAAGGCCGGGCTCAGTCTCCAGCACCAGTTAGGAGGGAAGTAGGAGGACAAGGGAAATGATTCATAGATGCACATATAATCACTGTTGTCTATTTTTGGTGGTAGAAGGGTACACAAGCAAGTCATGAACAGTGACTTGTTAATGCATACAGAAGGGGACGGAGGGGCGGGGTCAGGGGACATTCACTCATGGAGCACCACAAAAGCCCAGCAGAGTTGTGTCACTTTACCTTTCTCCTCTCATCATCTGGGTAAGTCCAATAGGAGATACAGTTTCCAGAGAGAACACACCATCTGCGATGCCAGGCACCAAAGCCACTAACATCTTCAAATATTGTCTGGAAGTCAATTGAAACACTGACATTAGAAAACTAAGAAAAATGTCCATATCTGTGACATTTTTATGTGAAAGTCTATTTGTATGAGTTTATTGTATCTTTTACTTCAGTAATGAAAGTCAGATTGTCCCCATCAAAATGCATTTAAGAATATCTAGATCAAGCCGGGCACGGTGCTTGTGATCACTGTGAGTTCAAGGTCAGCCAGAGCCACACAGAGACAATTCACAGTGAAAGTGTAAACTTCCGAATGGCTGTCCAAACGGTGTAGAAGTTCACTGGGATGTAGAGACTTCAGACATGGGAAATCTCACTATGTGATGTTTTTTTATTTTTAAGTTCTTTATAATGAATTTTTAATTGTTTAAAAAGATAAGAGACTGAGTAATGTTTAAGGATGGTTAGATTATCAAATGCGATAAAACAGTGACAGCAAAAAATTACAGCATGGAGCTGTGTTGGTGCACGCCTTTAACCCCAGCTCTCAGGAGGCACAGGCAGGTGGATCTCTGTGAGTGCCAGGATGACCAGTGCTAGGAAAGTCCTTAAAAAGGGGGAAAAAAGAAAGAAAAAAGCAACCAAACCAAATATATCAGGGAGTAACGGCAAGACTGAGATGGCCAATGTCTATTCTTTGTGAGACGGGGCCAACATCTCCAGGCAGCTGCCGTTTTCCACAGCAGAATGTAGACAGAAGCCACCACTTCTGTGTCAGAGAGAGGAGCAGGTCCCTCCCCGCAGGCCTTCTCCGCAGCACCCACCACCCACCTTGTGTAAGGCCAGATCAGTCCCTGCAGACAGGTCACTAGGACCTGCCCATCATTACCCATGCCAGCCTTTCTCATCCCAGCTGCTCTCTCTCATTTCATGTGGAGTGGCTCCGACTTAGTGAGCTAGCCCATCTTTCAGGATTTCTGCTCTCTAGTCCACCTTCTACACACCAGTCATAGCGATTTTCCTAAACCCCAAATGTGGTTATTTTCATCTGGTAAAACTCCATAATAGTCATTCAATTGGCTTCTGCATGAAGTCCAATTTCTTTAAACTACTCGGTTCATTTCTCTGACCACACACAGTCTTCTCCTCATTCCCGACCTCTGTCCCCAGGCTCAGCTTTAATATCCTGAAATATTCAGCACTCTCCTCCTTCTCTTTGGGTTGGGGTGAGAGGGAAGGGACACCCAGGACACTGTCCACAAGCTGCAGCATTTCCCTCCTTCCCTCTGTTGACTTCATGAGCAGGTTAGGAGCTGGTACCCAGCGGCTTCTGCCCTCAGCTCACAGCGGTGTGCCCTACGCTGTCTCCTATAAGGCACTGGCTGGCTCACTTCCTTCCTCCATACTAAACTCACAGCTCCTCCTGGGCCAGCGGGTTGGCTTAACGGATAATGGCACTTACTGCCAGCCTCACGACTTAAGTTTGATCCCCAGAACCCACAAGGTAGAGAGAATCAATTTCTGCAAGTTCCACAAACACACTGTGGAATACATGTGCACCTCCCAAATAAATAAATACAATTAAAAAATTTAAAGCTCCTGCAAGTAGAGAGATCCTCTTCTTTGTGAATTATATCCCAACGTCAGCACAGTGAGTGGCTTAGAGGGAACGCTTACAAAACCAACTGATCACGGAATCACACAGGCTTTCTTCCTTCGGGAAGACAGAAGAGAAGGTCATGAAGAACGGGATGGGTGGTACTCACTAGGAAACCTTTCTCCTCAACACTTGAATTCACTTGACAGCTGATTTTTAAACAGATATGACCTTCCAAAGGAGATAAAAAAGGTACCTGTGAAGAAAAGGGGGAAATTATTTGTAAAAGCATTCCACAGTGTGATATTTCTTGACAAAGCATGAACACAGAACACTACCTTGAAAATAAAATCATATTCTAAAGCTGTAGCATAAAAGAGCCACTGGTTCCTTAGCAACAGGTACTTTTAATTAAAGAATAAATTCAGAAGCTGGAGAGATGGCTCAGTGGTTAAGAGCACTGGTTGCTCTTCCAGAAGTCCTGAGTTCAATTCTCAGCACCCACATGGCTCACAACTTCTGTAACTCCAGTTCCACAGCTTCTGACACCTTTACACAGAAACATGCAGACAAAACACCAATGCACATAAAATAAATAATAAATCATTAAAAAAAGAATAAATTCATTCAGGGTAGAATTTTACAAAAACAAAAGTCCCAAACTCCAAATAAATGAGAAAAGACAGGAGATTTGAGACTAAGAGCTGCTGGCTCCTTTATCAGGAGGAGGCTGGATAGACCAACTGTGTACACTCCTAGAACGCAGCATTATGTAGTAAAAAAGAAAACCGAACCACAGAAAGAGGAAGCCAATCCTTAAATCTATATGAAATTGCAAGGGGCTGTAAACACAAAATCATCAAAAAGAACACCTGGATGAATCATCCTTCCCAGTGTCACGAATTAGTTCAAAGCTTCAGTAATGGGACAGTGTGACAGCAGCAGAGGGACAGATACCCAGGCAAATGGAGCAGGACCGAGAGCCAGGCAAGGGCTGAAGATGTGGCGGAGGACCTGGACAGCACGCACAAGGCCTGACTCAATCTGCGGTACTAGAGACCAGAAACGAGCCCAACAGGGATATGCAATTATTTCTTGTAGCTCTTTTGCCAATTAATTTTTGAAAACCTTGCCAAGACTAGTCTAAGAAATAGAGCAGTCTTGAACAACTGGTATTGAGAAAACTGGAAATTCACATGCAAAAGTGAAGGGCACCGGTGTCTTCACTGGACTTGGAGGGAAATGGATGTACTTCATCTTACACGTCTAGTCACAGTCCCTTACTGAGGGCGGGCAGGGCAGAACCTGAGGGGCAGGAACTGAAGCAGAAGCCAGGAAGGAGTGCTGCTTACTAGCTTGCTCAGCCTTCCGTCTTATACACCCCAGGACTAGCTGCTTAGTAGTGCCACTGCCCTTCCACATCAATTAAGAAAGGGCCCCACAGGCCTGCCCACAAGCCAATCTGGTGGAACTATTTCCTCATTTCGAGACAGGGTTTCTCTGTGTAGCTTTGCGCTTTTCCTGGAACTCACTCTGTAGACCAGGCTGGCCTTGAACTCAGAGATCCGCCTGCCTCTGCCTCCTGAGTGCTGGGATTAAAGGCGTGTGCCACCACCGCCCGGCTTCAATTGAGGTTTCTTAATCTCAAATGATTCTAGCTTTTGTCAAGTTGGAAAAAAAACCAAACAAACCACTGAGCAGGACAGTTAGACCTCGACCTTATAACATACATAAAAGTTAACCCAGAATAGATTATAACTTAAATATGAGAGCTAATATCACCAAAATAACTTAGAGGAAAACAGAAGTAAAATTTCACGATCATAGATCTAGCAATGAACTGTCAGGTATGATATAAGAAGCACGAATAACACGAAAATAAAAGAAGTTTCATCAAAATTAAAGGCCTTTCAGAAAAGAGGTTCCTCAGAAGTCAAGAACGAAGTCCAGAGACTCACAACTGGTCAAGATACAGGCTGCTGAGTGCGGATGAGGGGACTGACATGACAGAGGGCAGTGGTGTGCAACGTGCTAACTTCAGGGATCACGACCTGGTCAGCGCATTCTGGAACTCACCGCAGCTGTGATTCTGGAACTAACGTTGCAAGGTTAGGCCTGTCAAGGAGGGAAGGTGGTCCTAGGGCCTCACCCCTCCCTGAGGATTTACAGGGAGATTGACAGTTGATGGGGGAGGGAAAGACATTTTCTTCAGTGGTGTCACAAAAGGGGCTTGTGTTTCTGGAGTGAATGTGCAGTAAGAGAAAAACAAACTAAAATGCACTAATGTGTATATTAATATGTTTTAATAGGAACCTTTAAAAACAATTAACAGAATTATAGCCAAGAGTGGCGGCACAAATTGCATCCAGGCAGTGGGAGGTGGAGCCTGGGATAGAGTTCAAGCTCATCCTCAGCTGCAGAGCAAATTCAAGACCAGCCTGGCTGCCTGAGGCTTTGTCTCCAGACAACACAAAGAGGCCACCAAGCCTTAAACCTGGCTTTCATCCCCAGGACCCACTCAGAGGAAGGAGAGACTGTCCCTGAACTTACATACAAGTGATATGGCATGCACAAGCACACACACAAAGTAAACAAATGCAATTTACAAAAGGACTATCATGACACCGATCACTCTTCTCAGTTCGAGACAAAGGAGTTGGTTCTCAAAGTTATGTCTGAACTACGCACACAGCTGAGAAGCAAAAACACCATGTCAGTCAAATGATGGCCCACGTGCGGTGCCTGGGAAAGCCAAGAACTCCACAACAGAACCAAAGGACAAAGGCAATGCAAGTCAGACTCACAAGAAGGGTGGCTGTGGTGGCTCACACTTAGTCCTGGCAAGAGGACGGCCTCAAACGAGAGGGTAGAGGCCGCCCAAACCAGTACGCCACTTCCCAGCTCCCAGGAAGGTTATGTCTCTAACGAGAAGAACCATGGGAAGTGCAACTGCATATTACCGGTGGCTCTTTAGAAGGCTAGGCCAAGTTATCACTATGACTCCCCAGTCATTTCCTGGATATAAGCTCAAAAACTCAAAGAGAGGCACTCATACAATTACATGCACATACAACCACAGAAGCGACTCAAAAGTCATCGCAGAAGAAAAGAACTCACTTTTGGAGACGTGGGTTTGTCTTGGAAATAGAGACGATGGCTGTCCATGGCCATGAATGTATTAAGTGCCACTAAAACATTCATTTCAAAGTTTCTACTTTTGTTGAATGAATTCTAACTCAATGAATCATTTTTTATTTATAGATCTGTGTGTGTACATGTGTGGAAAGTTTTTTATTTATTTTTTTCTTTTTCTTTTTATCATCAAGATGGCCTCACTATGTAATTCAGGCTGACCTTAAACTCATAGAGGTCCATCCATCTCTATCTCAAGTACTGGGATTAAAGATGTGAACCACCATATCCAGCTGATCATTTTAGAAACAACGAACTCCTAACACATAACATGAATAAGCTTCAAAACCTATCATGTTGAGCAAAAAAGGTTAGACTCAAAAGAACAAACATGTGGTTCCATTTTTAAAGGAAGTTTAACGATGAGCAAAACTAACCTATGAGGGCAGACGTGAGAACAGGTCTGTGTGGTTGGGACTGATCATGAGGAGTGATGGAAAGCTGTAAGCCTTGCTTGGTGTTAGCCAAATGGTAATATATGTAACTTGTCAAAACTCACTGAATTTTGCCATAAGGTCTTTACAGTTATCTAAATTTAAATTTTTTATACAGTTTACTGTCTGGACTATTTTATATATTTATTATTTTTATGTGTGCACACAGCACACTTTTGATGGAGTTCGTTCTCTCCTTCTGCCTTTACACGGTTCCAGTGATCACACTCAGGTCCAAAGGCTTGAGCAGCAAGGGCTGTAGCCAAGCCATCTTGCCTGCCCCTTGAACAAAGCGTTCACAGCTCTTTTGAGTCTATCCAGCATGACCACAGTCCCAGTCATACATTCTCCTCACCTCCAGGTTTCCTCCTGTGTCAATCTCCAGGGAACTGTGGGCGGACTTCCTATATTACTGTAGATTAGCTTTCATGTACATCATTTATTACAAGAAAAACACGTTTGTTTTAAAGGAAAGAAATTCAAACACACAAGAAATATTCTTTTTTTTTTTTTTTCCCGAGACAGGGTTTCTCTGCATAGCTTTGCGCCTTTCCTGGAGCTCACTTGGTAGCCCAGGCTGGCCTTGAACTCACAGAGATCCGCCTGCCTCTGCCTCCCGAGTGCTGGGATTAAAGGCGTGCGCCACCACTGCCCGGCAAGAAATATTCTTAACAAGTTATAACAACTCAATTTATGGTGTTTGATATTTATAACTGTTCGAAAAGCAAGCACGCATTCAGTAGAGACTGCACTTTGAATTTTGGTCTTTCCTAGGCTAACAAGGTGTGGCACAACACTGTTAAGTCTCTCAGAGACAGACATCATTACCTGCCACAGCTTCTCATCAGCCATAGAGAGGCAACTGTTACTTTATGGTGTCTCACATCCTCAGCAAGCTTTTACCGATTAAAATATTCAACAAAGTACACGAGGTATTCATTACTTTCTTACACAGTAGGATTTGTGAGAGATGAATTTGTCCAAGCACAGGCTGCTGGGATCTTTGTGGAAGGGAGGGCTAAGCCACAGAGCAGCTTTAGGTATCTTAAGTGAATTTTCAATTTATGATGAGATTATCAGGGTATGAGATCATTTCAAGTTAAGCATCTCTGACAATACACACAAACTCACCCCTGAAAGAGACCCCAAAACAATGGCCTCAAAAGAATTTCAATTTCCCCACAAATCTCAAGCTGGTGGAGGCAAAGACTAACTTCTGGCACGAGGGGGAGTTGCCTCCTCAAAGGGAATTTCAGACAATTTCTCACAAAGTGACATATGCGTATTTCCTGGTTCTAGGTTCAATTTTTTCTATAAAATTTTAACACTGCCATAGGAAATGCTATTTTCCCCAGTTAGGCCAAGCTATAAGTAAACCTATTTTTTTCCCTTGCTAATTTATGTTTCTAATTTTTCCTGAAATAGAAGAAAACTAAAGCTTATGGACCTACATGCCAACTAAAAACATTTTCCTCAACCCAGCACACAACTCCCGCTGCAGGAGCACTGTTCAGTCTCTGTGTGATGAGTCTGCACCCCACATCTATTACTGCACCATGTGGTGACTCTTCGCTCTTTACCGCAGCTGATATAACAACTCTGGACAAACAATACCCTCAAAATTACTCCCAAATTCTGTTTACCACATTTCTCCTACTGTATATTTGGAAGATTTATACAATCAAGTGCCCAGAACTCCATTTCTAATTTAGAGATGAAAACTTACAAAAAGCCCACTTTTTTCCACTTTAACAATAAAAACAAAACAAAACAAAAAAAACATAAATCTGGGTAAGCTTAACAACAACAAAAACTAACTGCTCTTTACAACAGATGGAGACCATTGCAGAAAACTACACTAACCAAAACACAGAGTTGTGGAGCCCTGGCCTAGCAGATACATCTACAAGCCAACTCTTGCTCCCAAGGCTCAGGCAACATGTGGATGAGGGTGAGGAAAGACGGTAAGAGCCAGAGGATCAGGGAGTCTGCAGTAAGATGTGTCTCCTAGGAACGTCAGAAGCTATACACAGAAAGTTTCACCAACATGACTGCCTATTAAAGAGGCCATGAATTTGAAAAAGAGCAAGAACAGGGTATATGTAAGAGTTTGAAGGGAGGAAAGGGAAGGGAGAAATTATGTAATAATATTATAATCTCAAAAATAAAATAAAAAAGGTATCAAAAACTTGTTTCCCCAGTCTTTGAGCTAAGATAAAGACATCAAAGCAGTCCAAAAGCAGACGGGAAGTACTGAATTCCAGGAAGATGTGTGCCTCTGCTAGGTGAGCCAAACCAGAACCACCTTATCCCCGGGGCAAGGCCCAAGCAGAGGTGCAGGACTGCCATTCACAGTGCATTGTGTAGTCAAAGGACAAACTTTAGTGGCTGAGGGGTGAGTGGCCTACCCGCCAGGCTTCCCTGCCTACCGGCATCTTAGTAAACACTAGCTGCAGGCAGGCTGGAGATCAGAGGGTCTAGCTCATTTGTGGTGATATTTTGTTTGTGCTCTAACAAATAAAGCTTTCCTGGAGATCAGAGTGCGGAGCCAGCCACTAGAGGCCAGGCAGTGGTACACACACTTGGGAAGAGGAAACAGGAAGTGATAATATGGCTGGGTGAGAGGAAGTGATAAGGCGGGGTGGAGGATTCCTAGAGGTAAGAAGTCACTAGTGGCTGCTGCAATGCTTCTCTGATCTTTCAGCTTACACCCTGATATCTGACTCTGGGTTTTTATTAAGATCAATTAGAATTTGTGCTACACTCATTCTCAAGGTATCTGAAAGAAAACTGAAGCAGAACTACTCAAAAGCCAAACCTCAGTTTTAGCCACTCTGGACACTGAGACAAGAGGAGTGCCAAGTTAGAGGCCAGCCTAGCTACAGAGTCAGCTCAAGAGCAGCCGAGCTCACGCAGTATAAAGCCAGTTCCACAAAGGGGAGAAGAGAGCAACCGCAGAGGTCGGAACCGCAGAGGTCGGAACCGGAGGCTCGGGTGAGCTGAGGCCTGGGAGCTCAGCCCACACGCACTTGTGTCTGTGCTTTCAGAGGGAAAGACGCTAAGATCTGGCACCTGCAAGTCCCACCAGCCCACCCGAGGCTCAGGAGAGCTGAACTGAAGCTTGCTCGGCCGCTCTTGCCAGGAGACCAAGAAGGCCCTGTGTAACGTGTGCATCACTGAAAAGGAGAACAATGTGTGGGCATCTAATCGAGGCCCACAGGGAGTGCATGACATGATGGCCTATTCTGTGAATGCATAATCCCCGAAGAACGAAGATTAAACATTCTGGAAGTTCCTTGGTAACCCTGATAAAGTGTTTATGGTTTATTTTTTAAGCTTTTTTTTTTTTACACTAACTGTGTAATTTACCCACATTTGTGTGGCATTAAAGGCAAATGAACTAAACAGTTCAATGAAAAGGACAAATAGAAAAGACTTGTCAGATTAGTTAACAAGCATGCTCCAACAGGCTGTACCTAAGCCCCGAACGTGAGGCAGACTGACAAGGAGGAAGGGAAGGCAGAAAGCACAGCCACACCATGCCCCTCTGACAACGCTCACATCGGACAACACAAACGGGACGAAAAGGAGCAGGGGCAGCTGTGGCCTCCTATTCCTGTAGTTCCAGCATTTAGGAGGCTGAGGTGGAGGATCGCAACAAATCTGAGGTCAGTTTGGACTACATGAGAAGACCCTCAGAAAAGAAAAACAAATTAGGGGCTGGAGAGATGGCTCGGAGTTGTTAAAAGCACTGGGTGCCCTTCCAGAGGACTGGAGTTCAATTCCCAGCACCCACATGGCAGCTCCCAACTGTCTGTAACAAGTTCCAGTGGATCTATTCCCTCCCACAGACCTACACAGGCCAAACACCAATGCACATGAAACAAAAATAAATTATTTAAAAAAAGAAAAACAAATCTAAAACAATAAAGATCAGAGATAAATGGAACAATTCATCAGAAAGTTTAAAATATACAATGTAAAAATTGACAAAATAGGTGAAAGGTACCTACCATGCACAAGTCCCTCAGTTTGAATCCCAGTACCCTATACACCACACACACACACACACACACACACACACGCACGCACGCACTCACTCACTCACTCACTCACTCACTCACTCAGACAAAACAAAATTTTAAACATCTAAAACTGAAACTACATTACTACTACTAATTAAAAGTTTGATAGATATTTTCTTCCAAATTAAAGCATGAATGGTTACCCATTCATATAAGAAAGATTAAATCTTTCTTACTAACACATAAGATGAAAATGTTCTTGCCCTCGTCTGTTAAGCATGAGTCTCTTTAAGCCATCCTCACTTCACTGATGATTAAGAGATATAAACTGTAACCTAGAGCCAGGATAAATAATGCAACTCATCACGCACTGGCATATTTCAGAGTGAAAGGGAGACAGGTACACAGTTCAAAAGGCACACACTGGATTTCTTCAAAGAGATAAGAATGCCTAACCAGCCAGGTGTCTTGGTGCACAGGCAGGTGGATAACTGTGAGTTCAAGGCCAGCCTGGTCTACATAGAGCTCCCAGCCAGAAAGGGCTACATAGAAAGACCCCGTCTAAGGAAGAAAAAAAAAAAAAAAAAAACCTAATCATTCTACTTCTAAGCTCAAAATCATGTCAGTCTATAATTGTTTCACTTTATTACTGTTTTCTCTAAAAATATTTGAACTGACTTTTCCTAAAGGAAATCTCTCTATCTATAGCTAAGAGGCTCCTTCAGGTCAGCTGAGCTTTGGAGCATCCTTTTCCCAATAAAGTATAAAGCTGAGAAATCTGGATTTCATTGAAATAAGGGGTTTAAGTCTGCAGCTGACTGAGACTCATCACTGAAGTGCCAGGGTTCAGCGTTTAAATTAGGTTTCAGCTCAGACAACACAGCCATCTCCACTTGTGGTTCTGGGCATCTAACGCTCTCCTTGCGGCCTGTGCAGGAACCAGAGACACACACGGTGCACACACAGCATAGCCCCACACCCATACACTTTATTATACATACAGTTTTAAATTATCACACCAATAGTTCTTTCAGTATATCAGAAGTCAGAATAATTTTAGCCTTAAACATAGTTATTAATTTTCTATTCTAACTAGTACTCAGAAAAAAAAATCAATATGAAAATGAATATAGATTTCAAAAAATTATAAAACATGGGCCAGGAATGTCGCCCAGTGGTAGAGAGCTTGCCTAGCATGCATGAAGTGCTGGTTTAATTCCCAGCATCCAGTATCTGGCCATGAAGACCAATGGCTGTGATCCCAGAACTTGCAAGGTTGATGGATCAGAAGCTGAAGGTCATCTTTGGCTACATAGAAAGTTTAAATCTAGCCAAGGATAAATAAAACTGTCTTTAAAAAAAAAAAAGGCAGGCAGTAGTGGCACACGCCTTTAGTCCCAGCACTCTGGAGGCAGAGGCAGGCAGAGTTCTCTGTCTGAGTCCAGCCTGGTCTACAGAGCGAGTTCTAGGACAGCCAAAGCTGTTACACAGAGAAACCCTGTCTCAAAAAACAAAACAAAACAAAACAACAACAACAAAAATCACAAATGGTAGAAAGTATATAGAGAAAATTCTAAAGCAAACCTATAAGGAAAAAAAATTTAGAAATTTTAAAGAAAACTATAAAGAATTATGAAAAAGAAAAAGGATGCCCATATACATATAAGAGCCCACAGAATGAATTTTTTGTCTCTGCATAGATATTATCAATTATTCAAGTAAACCAAAAGTATACAGGAGTGGTTGGTTAGTGAGACAAACACACATGGACCAAAAATCAAGGATTAGCTATTGGTTTGAAGAGGACATTAGTTTTTTTTTTAATTATTAAATTCAATTTATTCATCAGAACATATACTCAACCAGCAGCTTTAACATAACATGATTAAGAAATAATACAGACAGAAAATGATTTCTTAAGCACATTAATTTTAAGTAAAGAAAACAAAGCAACCTTTTCCTGGAACAAATAGCCCAGTGCCTCCTGCTCTCTTACATCAAAATTTATCTAAAATAAACAAAAAAGAAAAGAAGAAACAAAAAGATCCAGTATCATTCAATGTGTTAATACTAGTCGAATTACTAAATAAAAGTTACATACAATTTTAGATATTAGCATGTTCAAATAATTTTTGTGTTAACAGTAGTCAAAATTAAACAAGGCCAGCACTTTGTCTATCAACCGAAAATAATACTTTCCTAGTTTTAATGTTAGACTGGCTTGTATTAATCTAATATTCCCATGGGGACAAATGAGATCCCTGAGAAATGAAGTGACTTTGCTCAGAATGCAAAAGTTACCAGTGTAGCACGTATGAGCACCGAGGTCCACCTGCAGTGCTAGCAGAGGGGGAACTGTCAATCACAAGCTGCACAATGACAGAAGCCACGCCTCTTCTTCATGCAGTTTACCTCTATGTTCTGACTACGGAAACCGTTAATAATACACAATATCCAAAGACAGCATGTTCTTCCCACATGTACAAGTCAATCTGAATGTCAACAGTGATTACCAGGGATGGAGAAGGGAGACAAGAAAGGAAGGGATGGAGTGGAGGAAGGCTGAGGTCAAGAAGTACTAAACACAGTCTGGCCAGGCATGATTACCCATGCTGGTAGGGTCAGCCATTCAGAGGCAGAGACAGGAAGATCAGGAGCTCTGTCAGCCTTGGCTACACATAACAAGACTGAGGGTAGCTTGGGCTATAGACCTTAAGTCAAATAAATAAATTTGAAGCATTAGATCTAGGAAGTATGGGAAAGAAATCTCTTAAGTTAAAAAGATATGGCTGGCACATCCCTACAATCTCAACAGTGAGAGGTTAAGGCAGGAGGACTGAGGAAGTTCAAGGCTAGCCTTGGTTACATAGCGAGTTTCAGGCTAGCCTCAATGATACAGCACGACCTTGTCCTTTAAAATATAAAAACCTAAATCCATAACATATTGAATTGTTTTAAAATATAAACATTTAAATGCAAGACACGATACGTTAGAACGGTCACAGAAACCAGTCTAGACCGAAGATTTATATATAGTATTAATATACAAAACACTCCCAACATTTATCACGCATGTATACCCCCGCTACTAAAATGTACCATTCAAACATTTGAAAGTATTGGGGGTTTCTATAGACTGATGCAGTAAGTGTAATACAGTCGTGAGAACAGCGAGTTACCTTGTCCAGAGCAAACCTAGTGTCTCCGACGGAAGATAAGGACAGTGTGTGGGACCCAACCAGGGCAAAGCTGCTGGTGCGCACAGCACTGAGACCTCCTGGACTGGCCATCACTGCGGAGAGATGAGCCCAATTTAGTCCCGCTGGCTTCCCAAGTCTGAGTAGGAGTGGCCCACAGGCTCATGTTTCAGAGCTCAGGCCTCAGCTGACGCATCATTTGGGAAGAACTGGGAGGTGTGGCCTTGCTAGAACAGCCTTACTGTGTCCTCTCACTGGGGGAGATGTGTCACTGGGGGAAGATGTGTCACTAGGGGTGGGCTTTGAGGTGTCAAAAGTCCATGCCAAACCCAGTCTCAATCTCTCTCAACCCCCCCCCCCCCCGCCGAGACACACATACACACACACACCCCATAAAAATAATTTTTAAAACTCTTAAAAAAGAAAATATTTTCCTAAAGCAAATCAAGAAGGCACATGTATGTACGTGTGTATGGTTGAACATTTTTATAAAGGCATGCAACTGCTAAATTTAATTATTCTACAGCTTCAAGTAGTTTAGATACACTCACCTGAAGAATGAAGGTTGCTTTTCTAACAAAAAAAAAAGGGCGGGGGGGGGGGGTGAAGAAGATACAATAATTATCTATTATTTAGTATGCAAATTTAAATGTTAAGTACAAATTTTAACACAAGGACTACAGTTGAGAAAACATGTTTCTTACATTAAGTATCAATAATGAACATATCTTTATTTATTTTGAGAAAGTCTTATTATGTAGTCCAGACTAGACTTCAGCTTATAATCCCCCTGCTTCTACCTTTCAAGTACTGGGATCCATTAGTGCATTTTAAAGACTTCTATAGTATTAAAAGCTGGTAGTCAATTTGTAGTTTTATTAAAATGTAGATTAAGAGGATTTGATTTTTAGAAAAATTCTACTTACTGAAGTTATAGATGTGAGAAGTCTCTTGGGAGTAATAGCCTGGAAAAAGAGAGAGCTTAGCATATTTTCTATTAAATATTGCAATTCAGAGCTTAAAACTAATGTTCTTACATAGAAAATAACTGTTGAATATAAACAGATCATACTTAATTCCTTTATCGAGACTTTGCAAAGTATCCACTTTGAAGTAGAGCCAAAATACTTTGTTTTTTTTAGTTTTCTTGCCTTCTACCCAACAAAAAAGTTAGAATAAAGAAAGATTAAAAAATCGAGGACAGAAAAAAACTTCTATTTTTTTCTTTTTTGGTTTTTTGAGACAAGGTTTCTCTGTGTAGTCCTGGCTATCCTGGAATTTACTCTGTAGAACAGGCTGGCCTAGAACTCAGAGATCCACCTGCCTTTGCCTCCCAAGTGCTGGGATTAAACTCATGTGCCGCCACCACCCAGCCAGAAAAAAAAATTCTAATGATTTAGGAAGCAAACAAAAGAGCAAAGATTAGAAAGGTGGAAACCAAAACCCTAGTAATCATATTTCTCAACAAGCTCAATGTTTAAGCAATATTCAGAAAATAAGATATTTTGCATGTATTACAAAAGGGCCCTGATTACACTTAATATGATCACTTATATACATTTATACTCGACAGTCATACCCACTTAATGCAGTCAATAGAAATGTAGGGCCTATTTTAAAACAAAAAACAAAAAACCTTAAATCACTGAAACATGATTAAAACTAAAATGATGGTGGTGGTTTGAATGGAATGGCTCTCATATATTTGAATGCTTGGTCACTAATCAGAGGCGTGGCCTTGTTGGGGTAGGTGCATCCTTGTTGAAGGAAGTTTGTCACTATGGTGGGCTTTGGGGTTTCCGAAGCTCAAGCCAGATCTAGTGTCTGTCTCTTCCTGCTGTCTGCTGATCGAGATGTAGAACTCTCAGCTTCCTCTCTGGCACCACGTCTGCCTGCCATGTTCCCCCATGACAATAATTCCATTCAGTCTAAACCTCTGAAGGGAAGGCAGCCCCGATGAGATGCTTTCCTTACAGGCGTGCGTGGTCAGCGTCTCGTACTGACCGAGAGGACACTCTCCAGCAGTGCTCTCACTAGGTTGCAGCTCTCACCTTGGACTTGGAGGCTTTCTTCTTCTTATCAAGGCCTGATGAATCTTTCTTTTGTACCTATACACAAATCCAAGATATAACTACCTTAAAAATCTAATGTTATTAAGGAAATATATTATTGTTCATTTCAGAAAGCTTTTAAACTGCTTACCAAGCTGTAAACTTCAACATTTATTTCAAAGTCATTGGAAACATCATTCCTGAAAAAAGAGTATTAAATAAAACTGTAATAAAAACCTAAAGTTATGCCTTTAAAAATAATGTACAAACACTGTTACAACACTCAAAGACTCCACTGTATTTTTAAGAAATACAATAAACTATTAAGAATAATAAAAAATGGTAAAAACGCATTTTTTTCTTAAGACACACTTCATAATATTTGGGTTATAAAAACCAGGGTCTTTAGTAACACTACAGGAAGAGAGTGAGGAACAGCGCCTGCCGCCAAGCCTGCAGGACCACTGCAGCTCGACAAGGCTCCCACAGCTGGCCTCCTGCCTCCTCACTCACGCGCTGCTGCACACAGGCACTTTACAAGTTTATAGACTAAATAATAAGAGTAATAATACAAGCAGAAACAGTTTTCAAATTAGATTTTGGCTGCAGTTTGAAAATACCTATTTGGCTAGGCAGTGGTGGTGCATGCATTTAATCCCAGCACTCAGGAGGCAGAGGCAGGCAGATCTCTGAGTTGGAGTTCAGCCTGGTCAGGCTCCAAAGCTTACACAGAGAAACCCTATCTCAAAACAAAAACAAACAAACAAACAAACAAAAAGCAAAAAACCAAAAAAACAGATAAAAAATAAAACGTGTATTTGATACTAATTAACTTTTTTGTTGGAAATAAAATATTGTTACAGCTGGCAGGGTGGTGCATGCCTTTAATTCCAGCACTTAGGAGACAGAGACAGGCAGATCTCTGAGTCTGAGGCCAGCCTGGTCTACAGAACAAGTTCTATGATAGCCAGGGCTACAAGGAGAAACCCTGTCTCAAAATCCCAAAATAAATAAATAAATAAATAAATAAATAAATATTATTATGTGATTTAAAGCATCTATAAAAATAATGGTGCAAAATACTGAAGCACTATATATACTGCATATCTATAGTCAAAAAGTATCAACGCAGAAAATAAATAAGAAAGAAGAGCTAAACGGAACAACTGAAAATTGGATTATCTGTTCCTATTTACAGAATAAACAAGGGCCCAGAAGATGGCTCAGAAGCTAAAGGGGCTTGCTGCCCAAGCCTAGCAACCTAAGTTCAACACCCAGCGCTCACATAAAGGCAGGAGAGAACAGATTCTACAGTTATCCTATAACTTCTACACATGAGCTGTTGAACACAAACCCATGCACACATCATGCAAGTATGCACACACACACTGATAAACATAAAGAAATAAATGTTTAAAGATTTAATTATTTTTATACGTGTGGGTGTCTTGCCTCCATGCATGTCTGTGTACCACATGTATGCAGTGGCTGCAGAAGCTAGAAGAGAGCACTGGATCCTCGGGAACTAGAGCTACAGATTGGTGTGAGCTGCCATGAGCTCAGACAGTGAGAACTGACCAGGGCCTTTGGAAGAATAGCCTGTGCTCTTAACCACTGAGCCCTCTATCCAGAACCTCATAAATAAATAGGTGAAGGAGGAGGAGGAGAAGGAAGGAAGGAAGGAACGGAGGGAGGGAGGGAGGGAGGGAGGGAGGGAGGGAGGGAGGAAGAAGAAGAAAATCTGGGGGAGGTACTCACAAGGGCCTGTCTCTTCCTGAGCAGACTGGCAGCTGATGGTTCCAAGGGTGGGGGTGGGAGAGGACATGGGACATTTCTTTGAGGGGCCAATCACTGATAAGTTGCCCACGCTACTATAAGTAATCCCTTACCCATGGTTCTGTAAGCAACCCTAATTTAAACTCATTAGCTCACCAAATAATAATAACTTTAATAATAAGACAGACAAATTAAGGGGACAGGTTGTAGCATATTGGTAGAGCACATGCCTAGCACATAGGGCTCTAGGCTTGATTTCCAGCACTACCAGAAAGAAAAAAAATAACAGGACTGAAAGTAGATGGGAAATTGTCAAGGAGAACAAAGGGATCAGCAGGAGTGAAAAGGGAGAGAGGGTAGTGAAGAGTTAATATAACCAAAAATATATTATATGCGGGTATGAAAATGTCATGCCATTATGTATAAGCTATGCTAATAAAAAGATTACATTAATTATAATAAGTTAGTAAACAAATGTAAATACATTTTAAATACTATCAAAGTTTGGGACCAGGTGGTGGCAGCACACACCTTTAATCCCAGAACTTGGGAGGCAGAGGCAGGTAAAATCTCTTTGAGTTTGAGACTAGCCTGGTCTATAGAGTGAGTTCTAGGACACCTAGGACTAAACAGAGAAACTTTGTCTCGAAAAAACAAAGAAAAGGGGGGAAAATTAAAGTTTGAGATGTAGTTTGCTGATAGAACGCATGTTTAGCATGCACAAAGCTCTGAGTTCCATCCCATGAACTACAACAGATAAAACAAGATATAAACATCACTCAAATGCTACGACTGTCTTTATTAAAAGAAAAACATGTCTGAACCATGAGCTGCTCAGTTTACTTACAGAGTAAATGTAGTAGTAAATGTCAGAGCGTCACCACTAAGAGAGTTTGAAGTACTTGCTAATGGTGTGGCGACCACATTCTCAGCTCCAGCTTTTAGCATGATTAGGTAGTAGTAATTTGATGCATCTGTAATAAGTAAACACACTGCAAAGTTAGCAAAAGAACAACAAACTCAGATAGACAGCACCCTGGAAGGCCAGAAGTCATACTGCACCTGACTCACAAAACATTTTTATTTACAATTTCTAAGATCAAATTTCCCCAAACAAAAAGCTAAGAAAGATACAACCTGATACATCCAGTCTGGGAATAAGCATCAAGTCTCCTAATTACATAAAGCAAAATAGCTTCATTCTACAATCCGCACTTTCTGCCATAATCCGTTAGGCATTAGGAGGTTAGCACACACCTCTGAAGGGTGAATTATGATTTCTTTTTTTTTAAAGATTTATTTATTTATTTATTTATTTATTTATTTACTATGTATACAGTGTACTGCCTGCATGTGTCCCTGCAGTCCAGAAGAGGACACCAGATCTCATTACAGATGCTTGTGTGGAGCCACCATGTGGTTGCTGGGAATTGAACTCAGAACCTCTGGAAGAACAGTCAGTGCTCTTAACCTCTGAGCCATCTCTCCAGCCCGAATTATGATTTCTTATTTCAAAACTGAGATTTAAAAAGTATTAAAGTTACTCGGGGATAATATCTAATAAAAACATGAACTATTTATTCACTATCACTAAGTAACGATATCTCAAAATAAATAATAAATTACCAAGTTTTCTACATTATACTAAAATCAGGCAACAGGAAAAATTATAATCTAAATTAGCTCATTTCTACAATAATACTCCAACTTTTTCTTCATTTGTTTGTTGGAAATAGGAACTTCTGTAACCCAGACCGGCTTTGAATTTGAGATAATAATATACTTTTGCAATCTTCCAAACTGCTGGGATTATAAACATCAGCCACCACATGCAGTGAATGCTTAAAAAAAGAAAAGTCCTAGTCCTAGAGACCGACTCAGGGACTCACATTTAAGGCAAAGCTCCATCACAGACTACAACCACCCCTCCCTTTAGAAACACAGGTGTCACTAAGCTGTCGGATCTGGCCTTGAGCTTCTGACCACCACAGCCTCCCAAGCAGCTGGGACTATAAGCCTGTGCCCCCAGCTCCCACTGAAGGCTCAACCATAGAAAGGTCTCCATTCTTACTTTCCCCAACCCCCAAATTCACTTTTCAACTTTTTTTAAGACTTCTTTTGTTTTGTTTTGTTTTGTTTCCGTTTTTCCGAGACAGGGTTTCTCTGTGTAGCTTTGCGCCTTTCTTGGAACTCGCTTTGTAGACCAGGCTGGCCTCGAACTCACAGAGATCTGCCCGCCTCTGCCACCCAAGTGCTGGGATTAAAGGTGTGCGCCACCACCGCCCAGCCTTTTTTAAGATTTCTTTACCCCTAGAGATAAAGTGGGTTTTTTGTTTGTTTGTTTGTTTGTTTGTTTTTTAATTTTTCGAGACAGGGTTTCTCTGTGTAGCTTTGCGCCTTTTTCCTGGAACTCACTTGGTAGCCCAGGCTGGCCTCGAACTCACAGAGATCCGCCTGCCTCTGCCTCCCAAGTGCTGGGATTAAAGGCGTGCGCCACCACCGCCCGGCTAAGTGTTTTGTTTTTTTAAAGGTTTATTTATTTATTGTGTATACAGTGTTCTGCCTCCATGTATGCCTGCACACCAGAAGAGGGCACCAGATCTCATTACAGATGCTTGTGTGGAGCCACCATGTGGTTGCTGGGAATTGAACTCAGAACCTCTGGAACAGCAGAACCATCTCTCCAGTCCTGAGATAAAGTTTTAATTAAATAAAACTGCAAAAGAATCTTAAAATAATTCTTTTCGAGACAGGGTTTCTCTGTGAAACAGCCCTGGCTGTCCTGTAACTAGCTCTGTAGACCAGGCTGGCCTCAAACTCACAGAGATCCGCCTGCCTCTGCCTCCTGAGTGCTGGGATTAAAGGCGTGTGCTGTCACCACCCAGACTTAAAATAATCCTTATTCAACACTTCAACCCTGCTGTTTTCAGATCCTGCTGCCGTAGTCCTCTTTACCAATTTGACTCCCCTATGATTTAGTAGATTAGACAATTTTAAGAGGTCACTGTGGTTATCCAATCCAGAAAAAAAAGGAAATAAAACTTCAATAGAGGTATACTCACTGAGTAATTATCACTCACACAACCAATAATTCAAAATTTCCAGAAGGAACTTCTAAAATGGGGTAAATTTTAACAAGAATAAAGTAAAATAAATTCTTTTAAAAGACCTGGAATATAACAAAACTAATTAATGAAAGGCAAATGGTATGTCCTGTCAAGATAACCTAGGAAAATGTTTTCTGTCACAATTCTGTTTAGCCTTACTTTGAGATAGAGTGATGTACATACTTGCATGGGTTGGTAAACCTATTATATAAGATAAATTTCCCCCAATTGTTCAATTATGAGGAATTGCCTTACAATACGAGGAATGACATTATAAGAAGGAAGCTTTGTATCCTAATGCATACTCTACTTTTATCTTTCTCACACAATCCAGTCCAGGTGGACCTCACAATTCTCCATGTAACCCAGCCTCCTACCTGGTTTCTGAGCGGTGCCGCAGACAAAGTCTGCTTTCAGAGGCAAGCAGATGTCTGACAAAGTGACAGACCCTCGGGATGCAGCAAATCCACTCTGAGACAGGACAGTAGCCTTGTTCCTCCTCTGAGGCCCTTCGTTCTTCAGCTTATTCAGCTCATCAATCAGAAGTGCTCTCTTCTCAGCTACGGAAAAACATGCAAGTGATATTCCACACGTTAAAACTCTAACGGTCCTGACTGAGACAAATCCTGAAAGCACACTGAAAAAAGAGCTGAACTAAAGAGCACAGACAAAATCAGTGACTGTCTCTTTGACGGAACTGCTGGGTAAAACATCATCGCTAGTGTGTTCCCAACTCCTTATAATGCTTCAGCTTTTAATCGGGTTTTTATGAAGGGTCACCTTCCCACTCAACATGCTCTGTTCTGACATGAGATGAGACACACAGGAGTGTGCACACGCATGTTCATGCCGGATGCTGTGTCCCAGGTGCAGCACACATACTTGCAATCAGAAGAAGTCTCTCTGCTTCGGCTTCTTCCAGGGACCCTTTCCCATGGTCTTCATCAACACAGCAGTTCAGAGCCTGGCTGGCCTGATAGATCACGGTCTGCTGCAAATTTATGTCATTATTGAGCTCCTAGGGAAACCACAGGAAGGATTAATTAGTCACCATTACCACTTTATTTAAACTTTAATTCATCTGACTGCATAATTTCTACATTTTTAAGAAAGTAAAGTCCAAATGTTAGTTTTACTGCACAAGTTTTTAGATTGCAGATTCTTCAACTGTGGCTTAACTGTGAGCATCACAAAAAGTGTAACAACAGTAAAGAGTTCTGGATACAAACAATCAAAGGTTAACTCAAAGTCAAATGATGTGATGAATCCAAGATGCTTCTGGCAGCACTTATCCATCCAGGCACACCTTCACTGGGGCCATACTTCTGAAAACAGAGTGCATGCCACACCATGTAACACCAGTGAATACAACCTTCAATGTGACACTACTGTACTGAAGGAGGCATGGAGGCCTTTGTGCTCAGATATTCACTAGGGGAACCTGGAGTGAGTACACAGGGTTATCTCATCACAGGAAGGGATGAAAAACCTCCTTATCCGTCCAGAAGGCTGGAGCAGACACTCTTTCTAGCCTGGTGACTTTTGTGCTATCTGTTGTTGCTAGAGACCTTTCGTGGCATTGGGCCCTCCCCAGACTCTTTTTTTTTTAAAGATTTATTTATTTATTATGTTTACAGTGTTCTGTCTGCACGTTTGCCTGCTGGCCAGAAGAGGGCACCAGATCTCATTAGAGATGGCCGTGAGCCACCATGTGGTTGCTAGGAATTGAACTCAGGACCTCCGGAAGAACAGCCAGTGCCCTTAACCGCTGAGCCATCTCTCCAGCTCCCTCCCCATACTCTTACTGTAAATTTGTTTTTCTCAGTCAATCTATAGAACCTACCTTTATGGACTTTACAAATAGTTTTGATGTAGTCTCATCTGATCTAATTTAGCTTACTTTGTCCTCAAGGAGATTTATGTATGCTTTGTTGTGCATGCAAGCTTGAGTTAATCATGACCAGCATAAGTTTTCACTGAATTGTGCTACGCTTAAATAGGCCTAAAATAAACCACTCGGTGTCAGATTCCAGAAGTTAGAACCAACACTGGCTACTGAGTCCTGATGAACCAATATGCCTTCTTGCCTCCCACAACTCATAACTGCTGGCTGAGAAGGTCACACTATACACTATGAAATGAGCTTTTATTATATATGTAGAGTTTTCTGCGTCTATAAAACATACCAGTTAGCTGGGTGTGGTGGCCCACACCTTTAATACCAGCACTCAGGAGGCAGAGGCAGGCGAATCTCTCTGAGTTTGAGATTCAAAACCAGCCTGGTCTACAAAGAAAGCTCCAGGACAGCCAGAGCTACACAGAGAAACAGTGTCTTGAAAAACCACAAAACAAAACAAAAACAACCAAACAAAAGACCCGTAACAGTCCTTTACATCTCAATACTCAGGAGGCTGAAACAGACAGATCTCTGAGTTTGAGGACAGCCTGGTCTACATAGCAAGCTCCAGGGCAGCTAAGGTTACATCAGGAGGCCCTATCTCAAAATAATAAATATAGCATAACGGCCTAATTAGAACAAACTTAATATTTTCCTACCACTGTTCTCTAGTAGTTAGTAGTAACTTTAAATTATAGTGCATATTCGGTTTTAAAAATGCTGCTGTGCTGACTTGGGCTCCATATCATCTGCCATTCAGTGAGGGCTGGGGAAACGGGTCAGTTGGCCAAGTGTCTGCCACACAAGCACGGGACCTGAGTCCCGATCCCCAGCACCCACACAGAAAGTGCCACCAAACGAACACAAAACCCTCTGAGGACCACAGTAAGTTTCACACTTTACCACCGTCCAACTACTAGTTATAATTATGTTTTGGGGAGCAGAGAGTGCTGGAGATTGAACCCAGGGCCTCACACATTCTGGGCATTACTATACTACAGAGCTCCACGTTCTACTCCAAAGTGATGACCTCACAGCAATTTTCTAAAGAGCGTTTTCCCGAAGTTAAACTGAATTCAGGAGTAACTTAGCTCCCATGAATCAGATCCCACTCCAGTCACTCGGGGTTGAGATTAGTAGGGCCACAAGCTCACAATCTAGTTCAAGAGAGTCCAAATTCCCTTCCCATGCCAGAGCATACCTGCATTTTTTGTTTGATATTAACTTGACAAGAATAGACATTATTCTTTTCACCCAATTTTGAAGCAACATCTTCTTTTCGAACAATCACTTGCTTTATGGAAGGGCGCTCTGTTTCTTTGAATCTTTGAGACCTATAAGCATCAATGCTTCAGGGGAAAAAAAAGAGTTACTGTTAGAAATCCACTGAACAATAATAGTCTTTATCGAACATGTCAACAGAAACCTAATCTCACACTTAAGCATCAGCACATTTCCCCAAAATGGAAATGTCATCCCGTGGAAGGAAAATTGATAGAAGTTATTCCAGGCTGGGGCTGCTCATCAGTGGCAGACTTCCTGCTTAGCACACCTGAGGTCCTGAGTTCAATCCCCAGGCCACAAACAGTTACCCCAGGCTTACAAGGCTCTGTGAACAAGAGCTAAGCGGTAACACTCCTCCATGGTAATCTAAGCCAACACAGTGGAGGGCCCTTCCCCACACCCCTTACCTATAGAGAAGGTCTCGATCATCAGAACTGAGGCTGTCACCAGACTCAGCTCGGGGAACACGGGGTCTCTGGAACTTTCCTGGTTTGGGGCTTGCAGCACTTGGGCTTGTGTCTCTCAGCTCCAATTTGGGTGAAGAAATTACATTCTACAGAAAAGTAAACAAGTGAGATGTTAGACTTTCAACTTTGTTTTTATGTGTTTTGTTTTTATTTCAGAGAAGTGGTCTTCATTATGTAGTCCAGGCTAGCCTCCAACTCTTGATCTTCTTGCCACAACCTCCTGAAACCTGGGGTTACAGACATGTAACACCCAGGATTTACATGCCAGATGCTGTGGATGTACAACATTGATCCTAAATGATACTTCATTTAATTCTGAGAAAGTAATTATTTTCTCCTATTAGGAAATACATATCCAATACATCTACTGGCTTATAATAAAATAACAAAATAGATTAAGCCTCTACAAAGTAAATGGATAAAAAACACAAATCAGCAAACCTATGAGATGCACTGCCAGTAACAGTCCATGGCAGCGGCCAGTTCTTCACAAGGCTAGACCAAACATCACAGAACCAGACTTCAAAAGCTGAACTAGGGGCCGCAGAGATGACTTGGTGGTTAAGAGCACTGGCTGATTTTCTAGAGGACCAGGGTTCAATTCCCAGCACAAAAGGTGGCCACAACCATCTCTAAAATACAGTCCCAGAGGATCCAATCCTTTCTGTGGCTTCTACAGGTATTGCACACACATGGTGCACTGCACACACGATGCACCACACACACACACACACACACACACACACACACACACACACACACACGATGCACCGCGCGCACACACACACACACACACACACACACACACACACGATGCACTGCACACACACGATGCACCGCGCACACACACACAATGCACCGCACACACACACACACACACACACACGGTGCACTGCACACACATGATGCACTGCACACATGATGCACTGCATGCACATGGTGCATAGAGAAGCACTCAGGCAAAACACCACACTTAAAATAAAAACGAAGGGGGGAACGTTCTTTAATTTTGAACTAACTGAGCCATAAAATGTTGCCTCATGCCCCACATTCGCCTGACTTCTAGTCAGCCAACTACCACTTACTCAGCATCTCAACAACACTTTTATAGGAAAAATGCTTTCACAACCAGCAGGATCCAGAAAATGCTTTTCAAAAGTTGGTCGACTCCTAAAGCACAGACTATTTACCACACAATTAAACACACTTACTTCTCATAGGCACAAATGTGCTAATTATAACAGTTCCTGTACTGACTGATAAAGATGTACTTGAGCCTGTTAGAAAGACTTCAAATGCATGGTCAGAAACTGCAACTCTTCTTACACCAGCCTAACACACAAGGCCAGCTTGGGCTACATGAGACCCTATCTCAAAAAAAAAAATAAAAAAATAAAAAAAAAAACCAACAAAAAACAAATCAACAAATCCTTTTAAATAAAAGCACTTCTAACTGAGCTCATCTCCAGAGCTACAGTTACTAAATTTAGGGTGATGGCAATTAACAGAGGCTAGGCCTCAGTGATGCTTGTATTTCCGGTCCTAAATATAATTAGGACTGAAAGATTACATCAGCCCTAGAATGTAGGTTCTGTTGCTCTGTTGCTGACCTTGTTTGACAGCTGAGAAAACCACGTCATAGAGAAGCCACAACAATTCCAAAACACTACAACCAGAATTTGAGCGCAGATGCCATGCTTGTTAAAGTATGTCAATGTTACCCGAGGTCATAAGAAACCACTAGAGTTACTAGAGGTACTAAGAGAATCCCATCAGGTCCACACAACCCCACTGTCTAGAGGGTGAGAGTCATGTATCAAAAGTGGAGGAGGGGTGCAGTGTCGGCAGTTTATTGTGCTATGAGCCTGTGTACATGCAGTCTTTCTTACCTCTAGACTTACCACCCCGACCGTCTGGGCTAACGGAGCAAGTAAAGACATTGAAGAGATGTTCAGTGCATCCTCCTGCTCCTCGCTGTTTTCTGCTCCCACTTGCTCCATCTCCTCTTGGTTCCTTTCCATATCCAGTTCCCCTTCCTCTAGGACGTCACTAAAGATGTCATTAATGACTCTGGAGCTATTGATAGCATCATCATCCACACTCATCTCAACTTCCCGTACTACTTCTGAAAAACATTTCAATGGGTAGACACTAAGAACCAGTGTGCTAGAGGAGGCTGAGTTTTCATGCTTACTATAATAACAGAGTTACCTAAAAAAAAATCACTTCCTAACAACAGGAGAGAAGACAACTTCCAATACATATAAAATCAAGATAAAGCTGGACTCTCATATTTAAAAATATTTTAAAAGTTCCAAAATATTTTCTAAGATATAAAGACTAGACTTACAAAAAAACTAAACCTAATGCTTTGGATTTAAGTGAGAGCATTAAGTAGGAACACAAGAGTCTGACTTTCAAAAAAGTCCCAAGGGCCAGAGAGATGGTTTGATGTTTAAAGTCTACTTTTCTTCTCGAGGACCCAAGTTCAGTTCCTAGCACCCACAATGGGCTGCTCACAATGACCTGTGTGTAACTCCAGCTCCAGGGAACACAACACTTTCTTTTGGCCTCTGAAGGCACCCACAGTCATATGAACACACTCCCAAAGACACACACACACACATTTTTTTAAAATAATAAATCTCAATGGGTAATCGTGGCACACGCCTTTAGTTCCAGGAGGTAGAGGCAGGCAAACCTCTGTGAGTTCGAGGCCACCTGGTCTACAGAGTGAGTTCCAGGACAGCCAGGCTACATATAGAAACCCTGTCCTAGAAAAAATAAATAAAATAATAATGAATCTCAACAACCACTTTCAAATGAGTCTCTTCTGTTGTTAGGAGCTGTCCTCTCACATAGGAGTCAGCACAGGAAAATATTAACGCCGTCTAGGGCAATTTCAGAGTAACTTAACAGTGACCGCTAGCAGCACACAGCTCACTGGAAGCTCCAGTGTATCCTAGCCTGAAAATGAAAGGTATTGTAAAACGACAGGCCGTTGAAAACAGAGCATTCTTCTCACATTATTGTATTATTTCTATAATGGATCCAGAGCTAACGAGAAATAAAGACTAGAAACCAACCAGTCTCCTGCTCAGCCTTCGGGTCTGACAAGACTTTTAAAGACTTTTCCTCTTCTAAAAACAATGTTATTTTCAAAGGGCTGGACTTTGTCATTTTGCTTTCAGTGGAACCTAAAAAAGTTTGAGAAAAACCAAATTAATGTGTGTGTGTGAACGCACAAGCACATGTGTGCCAGAAACAACCTGAAAATGTAAAATTAGGGAGTCATAAATCTTTATTAGCAAGCCGTGCCTGTACTTTTAAGTATTCAAGTCTATACATGGAGACCTGCTACATCTGTTTCCTCTTCCTGTTTTTCTCTCCACCAAGAGGAAAAAGGACAGCAGTAATACAAGTTATTCTTTATTCAGACTGCTCCATCATTAGTTTTTAACTTAAAAAAGGTGTCAACGAAATCACTCAAAAACTAGGTCCAGAAGGGATTTCCTCCGACAGCAGACGAAAAGCCTTGGGTAACACTAGCACAGGTGCTGACGAAAGCCGGAGAGCGCTCCTCTAAGACTGGGAACATTAGGCATGCCTGCTCTCCCTACTGGACTTAATACACCCTGCTCTCCCTACTGGACTTAATACACGGTTTAAGGTCTTATCAAAAGCAACTAAACAAACAATAAAAAGATATTAAAAAATCCAAATTAAAACAGAATTGCCACTCTCTCTGCTCACAGATGGCATCATCTAATATTGACAACCCTGAAGACGCCACCAAAAAATAAGACAGCACATGACCTATTAGAACTGATACAGTTGTAAGTTCAGCAGAGTTAAACAAAGGAGGTCATATCAACACCTACGTGTGGTGGCTCACACCTGAAATCCTAAACCTTGTGTGGCAACAGCAGAATTGCAGCATATTCAAGAATAGCAAGGGCTACAGAGCATAACACTGTCTGAAAGATACAACAATACATGCAAACAAACACCCATCTACACAAGCAGTGGACAAGCTGCAAAGAACTCCTAGTGCTAATCTCTCCGGCAGTCAGGAAGCCTGGGCACTCATCATCACTGCATAAATCCAGGTGTGACAGCGCATGCACACCTGTGTGTGACCCCAGCACTTGGGAAGTGGGGGCAGGAGGGTCTCAAGTTCAAGGGGATCCTGGACTACAGCTTGGGCTGGGTGAGAAAGTAACAAAAAGAAGAAAATACTTAGGAATAAACCCAACCAAAGAGTCAAACAATCTGTATCTTAAAAACAACAAAATTCTGATAAAAAGAAGGAAAGACACAAACAGGGAAAGATTTGGTAAAATGCCGGTAGGACCATATAATCTGTACACTCAACGTGATCTCTATCAAGATCTTCCTTTCCAGGAGCAGAAAGGCATCTTCAAATTTATATAGAACTTAAAGACTCCCTGAATATTCAAAACTTTTCTGGAAGATTCATATTTCCTGCTAAAACTTATTACACAGCTGGGTTCAACTCAATGGTACTTTCTCTGCCGTGTGGAAGACCCTGGGTTTCAGCGACACATGAAAGGAAGAAAAAATCAGAAAGCTGGAGTCGTCAATACAGAGCGGTACTGGCGTAGAGACGAAGACCAGCGCAGTGTAACAGAGCCCACAGTAAATCTTTACATATTCGGTCAGTAATATGCATTCAACAAGGGAACTAAAATGAGTCACGAGCAAGAGAAGGGTCGGCTGGATAAATGATACTAGTGAACCTGGGTATCCATGCGCAGAGCATCGAAGCTGGACTCTTACATAGTGAAAAATCAGCTAAGAAGATTAAAAACTTAAGCCGGGCAGCAGTGGCGTGTGCCTTTAATCTCAGCACTTGGGAGGCAGAGGCAGGAGGATCTCTGTGAGTTCAAGGCCAGCCTGGTCTACAGAGTGCGTTCCAACACAGCCAGAACTGTTTCACAGAGAAACCCTGTCTTGAAAAACAAAAACAAAATCGATTAAAGACTTAAATATAAGATTTAAAACTATAAACCATATTTTAAAAAATAGACAGGGGAAAGAGTTCATAATGTTGAATTTTTCAGTAATTTCTTATTTAAATTATTTAAAAAAACAGAGAGGCAACACGTGACAGACTGAAAGGCAACCTATGAAACAAGGTAAGACATTTATATATCATGTGCAATGAGGAGGTTACTATCTAGGATCTATAGAGAACTACAACTCAACCAGAAGAAATCAGATGGCTGAAAATGGAGGAAGCAGGCCTGCGGGTGGAGGTGGCGGCAGCTCGGGCAGCAGTGAAGTGCCTGCCACATAAGCACGAGCATGGGGACCAGTGTTTAATCCCAGAACTCACATGAGAGTCAGACACGGCACTGTTCACTTTTAACCCAGCACCAGGGAGCTGGAGACAGGCAGATCCCCGGGCCTATGATCAGCCGCCCTCACCTAATCAGTGAACGACCGGTCCCAGGTAAGAGACTGTTTCAAAAACAGGTGGGCAGCCCCCAAGGAAAAATACCCAAAACCCATGTATACACACACACGTGCACGCACGCGCACACACAGGAACAGGAATGGTGGACATGCTTGTAATCGCAGTGCCTGGGTTGGGGGGCAGCAGCAGGAGGACAGAAGTTTGAAGTAGACCCCAGGCCGTCCTAGCCTACCTAGCAGGATCCCGACCTCCCCCCCGCCCCCAGAAAAAAACAGGTGTATGTGTGTGGGATGGGTGGGTACAGAAGTCCTGTCTTCAAAGAAGAAACACAAACGACCACAAAGAACATGAAAAATGTCCACCTTCCCTATTGAGAAGCACAAACATCACAATGGGATTTCACACTTATTAAGATAGTTACTACCCCAAACAAGAACATCATTATCAAAAAACACTCAAACAGAAATAACGGTGTTGGTAAAAGGCAGTTTGAAAATTAGAATGTTGTGCGCTGTGGGTGAGAACATAAATTAGTGCGACGGCTACAAACTATGATGCAGTGATTCCACTTCCGGGCACCTCTCCAAAGACTGCGCAGAGACATGGGCAACGGGGCACAGACAGGAGAAGGCACTCCACGTGCACACACTGAGAATGGGCAGCGGAGTACACACAGTGGGACAGTGTTCAGCACTGATGATAAATGCTCCAGGGTCTCACTCTCCACAGCTTCAGTTATCTGTTGTCAACCAAAAATAGAAACCCAGAAATATACACCAAGCTGTGACAGTTCCGGTCTGCGTGGAAACACTGGAGGAAAACCTCGGTTCTCAGTTCAGGTGCCAGCCACACATTTACGCTTCACCCACACAGCCTTGGACAGCATCCCTAAAGTTAAAACCCGACTGCTGTGTGTTTCTTCTCTCGAGGTATTTAAAGAAGACAAAGTCACAGCAACAGTGTAAAAAGGGGGGGTAAAGGAATGAGGAGAATTGTGTTTAACTAGGACAGTTTCAGTCCTGCAGCTGACACAGTCTGGAGGTCGATGACAGGTGAGCACAGTTGACGAGACTGAAATGGCACCTAGCAGCCCTCAGGTGGGCAGAACTGGTTTCATGATTGAAGCCCAGGCTCCGTTCAGACTCAGCAATCCTGCTCTCTTGGCCCATGGAGGACTAGGATTGCAGACATGGGTCATGCCCAGCTAAAGCTGGCAGAGTTTAGGTGATTCTTTTTATCACACATTATTAAAATAAAATTTTGCCAGGTATGGTGGTTCATGCCTCTAATCCCAGCACCCAGGAGGCAAAGGCAGGCCAATCTCTGAGTTTGAGGCCAGCCTGGGCTACAGAGTTCCAGGACAGCAGGAGCTACATAGTGAGACCCTGTCAAAAGAAAGGAAGTAAGGAGAGAAGGAAGGAAAGAAAAGAAAGCAAGAGAGGAAAACGAACATTTGAAAGTGTTTGTGATAAACCAGGTATGGTGACTCACCCCTATAACTCCAACACTTAGCACACTGAGGCAGGAGGATTAGAAGTTCAGTAAGAGCCTATCTCCAAAAAGGAAGGGAAAGGAAGGAAGAAGAGACAGGGGGAGGGAGGGCAGGGAGGGCAGGGAGAGCTCTGCCTCCTAGCTCCTTTGCCATGGTGGACTGTCCGTCTCTAGGGCTGTGAGCCAGGACAAAGCCTCTCTCTCTGGGGTGGGAACACCACACACACAGCCAAGAGGGAGCTCTTACTCTGGGAAGAACTCACGTGCCTGCACGGCACAGCAGCCAGCTCCACCCTGTGAGCCATCCCCAGCCCTCCGCGGCGGCACACGTCCGCACACACCCCGCGGCGGCACACAGCCACAGCGGAGCAGCATGGACCACTGACCTGAAGGCTCTGCACTAGAAATCTTCACTGCAGTTTGATTTTCCACCACCTTATCTGTTACAGAACTCGATGGGGTGTTTGAAACAATTTGATGTTTCTTGAGGGGAGTATTCTGACAGTGAATTTCCTGCAAAAAGCAAACGGAGAGGTAAATTCTCTTTCTCAGAATTATAAATCTTAACTAGTTTATTAAATGAAATAGGACTATTATTAAATAACATTCTATATGCTTTTTGAGAATGAAAAATAATATGCCACTAAAGGGCCCAGGCCAGTATTGGTAATTCTCAGTGTGTAGGATCCCCATTATGTCAACTATTTAAAAGACAAGAAAGCAGGAGACTTCACACCAGGGCGGAAGTGAAGGCACACAGAGAGCAAGCATCCCGTCACTCTTCTCTGCCCTTGCCTGTACAACATCCAGGCAGTTCTGACATGAAGGGTCTACTTCATTATCATTTTCAAAGTACAAAGCTCAAAAACAGCACAAGAAGGATAAAACCAGATCCAATAATGAGGAAAAATGGGCACTGTTTCACATGTCTACAAGACTTTCCGACGGACAGGCCTGGCTACTGCAGCGCACTCAAACAGTGGACACCGTGTATGACCCGGGCATGCTGGCACACGTCCATAATCCCAGCACCCTGGAGGCAGATGCAAAAGAGGCTCCGCAGTTCGAGGCCGGCCTGGTCTATACCGGGAGCTCTAGAGCAGGCTGTGCTACACAGCAAGGCACGTCTCAAAGCCAAGAGCACACTTCCTGATTCCAGAGCTCCTGGAAACCAGCAGGGTAAGATAACAGCAGCTAACTAACTAACGCGCAAACGCTAGAATGCGGCCTGTCACACCCTCCAACCCTCTAGATTAGGACCCGCCATTTCTGTTTTGTCAAGGAGCAAGCAGGCCCAGGAGCTACAGCACAGCACACTCGGTTAGTAACTGGACCCAGGATCCAAACCCTCATCCAGTTCCAGGTTAGAATGTCTCTCACAGGAGAAGCTTATGACGGACAAAACATACAGTAAACTATTATTTATTTATTTATTTATTTATTTATTTATTTATTTATTTATTTATTTATTTATTTATTTGGTTTTTCGAGACCGAGTTTCTCTGTGTAGCTTTGCACCTTTCCTGGAACTCTCTTGGAGACCAGGCTGGCCTTGAACTCACAAAGATCCGCCTGCCTCTGCCTCCCGAGTACTGGGATTAAAGGTGTGTGCCACTACCGCCCGGCTAGAGTAAACTCTTGAATGTTGTATACAGGCCGTTTTTAGGTGGGCAAGAAGTTTGAGGAAGAAAAATTGAGGTACCATGCAGAAAACAGAAAAGTGGGTTTAAAGTGTCGTAGAGAAACCGTTTGTGCTGTGCTATCCTGGCGTCTCAGCCTGTTTACTCACATCTGATAAGTGAGTAAATGACTGTGCCGAGACTGGAAACCAACTGCCCGTTCTTCTTCTTATTGAAAAACTAAAACACAGCAAAGCCCTGCCCCCAGCTCTTTCCTCTGGCTGTGGTCACCACCCACAAGTACACATTGCACATGAAAGGTGAGGCTGTGGGGCCACAGTTCTGCTTAGAAGCCCTGATTTCATGCTTACCTGCTGGGAAAGAGAAATGACATTACTAACTTACATTGTTATTGGAAAGATTCAATGATACTTTAAAAGTGCCCACCAGAGCCCTGGCCCATTGCAGACACTCAATACACAGACACTCTTCTAATGACCTAGTACCCCCATTTTCTTCCCCCCACTAGTCTTCCCTAAAGACTGTTATTGCATGGTAAACAAACACCCTCCACTTTTTAGCTCTAATACAAACCCAGCTTCTTACAAACATGGAAACTAATCCATAAACATCTGAAACAGATTTCTCACCTGAGTCCCGACAACATGAGCACAGCACCCCTGCAGTGTCTTATTAATCCTCTTTTAAAGCGCTTACTCCAAGACTTGGCACCAGGATTTAGTGCACTCTGTAGCCACAGTCCCCACCAGCAACAACCTGGAACTTCTTAGCACCAGTAACAGAGTCTTTCTGAACTCCAAGTACTTCTCTAGTTCAAGACCTGCATCACCAAGCTGGCACCAAGGCTGCCCAAGCAACACCTTGGCCTCTCAGCTGCATGAACATGTCAACTCTAAAACCCTCACCATTGCTCCAACTCGGCCTCCTCTCAAACTGGTCCACACACCCCATCCTAACTGTGTCTCCAATCCCCACAACACTCTCTTTCTCCCTCCCTCCCTCCCTCCCTCCCTCCCTCCCTCCCTCCCTCCCTCTCTCTCTCTCTCTCTCTCTCTCTCTCTCTCTCTCTCTCTCGTTCTTGCCTCTTGAAGACCTCTGGCCATCTGATGCCCTTCTTCCTTGATTCTACCTATTTTCTTACCCCTCCACCCAGGGTGGACCTCAGAACTCCTCACTGTAACCTCTTCCCCACCAATGACTTCAACGTGTTCATTTCACAAACATCCAGACCTCTTGTTTGGGAAAACCCTAACACAGGACTGACCAAAATTCTTCAGATCAACACCTAGACTCTTTTGTTATAGCTGTGCAATTGGGTTCTAGTCCACACGTATGGTCGTACAGCCTGTGGTGGTTGGCACGAGAATGTCCCCCACAGGCTCATGTATTTGAACACACGGCTCCCCAGCTGGAGGTGCTATTTGGGGAGGTTCTGAAACCTTTAGGAGGAAGTGTGTCACTGGGGATAGGCTTTGATGGTTTACAGCCTTACCCTACTTCCTGTTGTTTCCTGTTTGTAGATGAAAGTGTGGCCAGCCAGCTCCCGCCTCCCTCCACGCTCCGAGACTGTTGCTATGATTTCCCACCACAATCGACTCTGTCCTCTGGAATCCTGTCAGTACAAACCCTTGCTTCCTTGAGTTGCTTTCTGTTACGGTATTTGTCACAGCAATAGAAATGTAGCTAATGCATGGCCACCCGCATCCCAACTCTACCATCTCGAGCCCTTCTGATTCTGAGTTAGCCTCTCTTCCTTCAAGTAGTTCACCTGCCATGTTCCACTCCCTAGAGCTACACTTACCTTAGTCAAAGGCAGAGGTGAGCACCCTCCCTTTCCTAGCCACGAACGCAACAGCCACTACAGACAGACACTCAGACCTGCCAGCAGCGCGTCAGACATCAGGGCCGGCAGTTTCCACTCTGCTTTTCCCAAATGGTTCCCTTCCCTCAGCTCCTTTTCCTTCACCTTAACTCATTAGCTAACTCCTTTCCATCGGTGCTAAAATATTCTTAAGTCACAGAAAAACACCTGAAACACACTTTGCTTTTTATACCCTCCAGACACCATCTCCTTCCTCCGTCCTAACCCTTAGACAAAAAGGCCTAACGACAGCCTACACTGGCTCTGCTCTCAACCCGCCCGCCCTCCTCATCCCTGCGTCCTCAGCTGCCTCAGCACAGCAAACTTCAGACTTGAAACCTCAGCTGGCCCATTTCAACCCTCGGTGGACGAAAGCACCCTTCCTTCTCAGAAAGAGAGGTTCGTCTCCCTGGACTTTCACGACACTCAGGCATTTTTCACCCATGTTTTTGGCTACTCCTTTTATGGTAAACAAATGGGGTTCTGGGGAAGGAAACCTCTGAACTCCCTGTTAGTATCGTGTTCTTAAGTTTGGACTCATGCATAAGTGCTGCTATCTCACAAGCTTCCAAGGAACTATTTAGTAGACAATAATCTAAAGATTCCTGTCTGCAGGGACACAGGAGAAAACCGTGAGAATCTGGTACTGTGGTAGCCAAATGACGGTGGTCTTCAAACAGAAAAGTCACCAGCAATGCCAAACGCTGCTAAGAAGTCTAGTTAAATGTCTGAAACCAATCAATGAAAATCATAGGTGAACTGGAGAAGAAAAGCAGAGGGAAGAGAAAAGAAAATGGGGACAAAAAAAAAAAAAAGAAATACACCTGTAGTAGTGAGTGTCACACTGGCTGACCAGTCGGCAGACAGACTGGCAATAGATTTAGGAAATACTAACTGGATGTATGTATCCAAGTGGGACTGTGTGTAGAAAGAGGGCTATTGAAGATGGATTAGAATAAAGCAACAATGGGGAGGCGTGTGGAAACTGAAAGGGCTGCAGACACTAAGAGCATCATAGGTGGGGTGCCGGGTAGTTTTTGTCAACTTGACACAAGTCACCTTGGAAGACCGGCTGACAGGCAAGTCTGTGAGGCACTGTCTTGATTAATAACTGATGTGGAAGTGTCTACCCCACTGTGGGTGGTGCCGTCCCTGGGCTGGTGGCCCTGGGTTATATAAGAAAGCAGGCTGAACAAGCCCTCAAGAGCAAGCCAGTCAGTAGCTTTCCTCCATGTTTTCTGCTTTAGTTCCTGTTTCCAATCTCTGCCCCGATTTTCCTTCATAATGGACTGTAAGATGTAAACTCAAATAAACCCTTTCCTCCCCAAGTTGTTTTTGGTCAGGGCTTCATCATGATAGAGAAGCAAACAGAACAGCACATTGAGAAAAGCTAAAGTTACCAATGAGAAACGTAGATTCTAAGCAGTATTTAAAAAGCAGCATCTAAGAAGAACACTGAGAATCTGAAAGTGGATGATAAGAAAGGACTGTAAGGTCATCAGTGAGAAAGCTGCAGAGTGGATGGAAATGGAGACTACCATAAGAAAAGAAGAGTTACTTACACGTAAGCACTGGGGAATGGAAAGCGTAATGTCACTGGGAAAGGAAGGTGTAAGATTTATTTTACAAAGCTGGGCACCGTGACTCACACCTATAATCCAAGAACTTGGGAGGCTGGAACAAGAGGATTACTTAGAGTTTGTAGAAGTCTAGGCTAGGTTGAGAGACCATCCTCTCAAAACCAAAAATGAAAAAGCACCACCACTTTAGTACATCAGTGACTTTCACATTTCCTGTTCACATTACCTGCTGGGTTTCTAGCTGTTTGCTTCTTGACTTTTCATCCTTCTCTGCACTCCATAAATTGCCCTTGTCAAATCGACCACGAAGACCCGCTAGTTCTTTTTCACGTTCCTAAACCCATGAGACAAGGCAGTATTTAACACAAGAACCAACAGCATTTAAGAATATCCAAATACTACTAAAACATTTCTCAGAAGCAAGCTATGGTAGCATACAGCAGTAATCCCAGCACTTGGGGGGTGGAAGCAGTAGTCAGTTCAAGATCATCCTCAGCTAGAGAGCTAGCTTGAGATCAGCTTGCACTCCATAAGACCTTATCAAAAGAAAGGTAAAAAATAACTTTTCTTGCCAGGTGGTAGCAGGTGGGAGGCAGAAGCAGGTAGAACTCTGTGAGTTCGAGGCCAGCCTGATCTACTGAGCGAGAATGAGGACAGCCACAACTACACAAAGAAGCCCTGTCTCAACAATGACAACAACAACAAAAAACTTTTCTTGTATTTTACAAGATATATATATATATGTTACAAAATATAAAGATTCACAACACACGCGGAATCTGATACATTATTTCATTGCTCAATTTGCAGTAAGAAGTACAGAGAACCAAAGTGCTGTTTATCACAGCCAGGGCTAGTGATCAAACCTGTAATGTCAGCACATGGAAAGCTGATGGTGGGACTGCTGAGAACATAGGGCTAGCCTGGGCTGCTTAGTGAGTTCCAAGGCAGCCTAGGCTACAGAATGAGATGCGTCTTGTAACTAGAGCATGTCCTCAAAGATTCTCTTTAGCTCAGCCAAAAAGACTCACACTGGGCTGGAGAGATGGCTCAGTGGTTAGGAGCACTGGCTGCTTTTGCAGGGGCCCCAGGTTCAGTTCCAAGAACCCAAAGGAGGCTTGCAGCCATCTGTAACTCCAGTTCCAGGGGGATATGATGCCCTCTTCTGGCCTCTGCAGGCACTGCATGTATGTGCTGCACACACACATGCAGGCAAAACACCCTCACACTTAAAATAAATACATCTTTTTTAGAAAGAGACTCATTTATTTCTTATGTTCCATGCTGAGGTCATGTAATAAGTAGTAAATGCAGAAAATCTTACCTGTTTGAGCTGCTGTGCTAAATGGGTAGTAGATGAACATGTGTTTTGCTTCAATAATCTTTCCTGGATGGCCTTGGTATTTGGAGTGATATTGGGGGTCCTATGAGATGCTCTATAAGCTGGGCTTTCTTTGCTGTGTTCTTGACAACGCTCTCCAAAGCGTTCCAGAAAAGGTTTAATTCCTCTTCCTCCTATAAAAATATAGTTTTGGAATATATGAAAATAGCAATTATCATTTCCAAGCAAAAAAAATCTAAAACCATTAGTTACCAAATGCTTTGTTTCTAGGAAAAGCCATTCACAAAAATAAATTAAGATTGTTCAAAGAATCTATTAGAAGCATGCTCTAAATTTCATTTTTATTGTTTTAAATTATGTGTGTGTGTGTGTGTATGTGTGTGTGTATGTCTGTGGGTGGGTGCCCATCAGCACCGGTCCCACCCTAGGCCAGGTGTCAATCCCCCTGAGGTGGAGTTGCAGGCAGTTTTGAGCCGCCTGACATGGGTGCTGAGAACAGAACTCGGGTCCTCGGGAAGAGCAGTACATATCCTCTTAACTGATGAGTCATCTCTTCAGCCCCTATGTCCTAAAATGTGTAGGATTTAGTTAACTAAAAAAGGGTGTGGGACCAGCAAGCTGGCTTAGCAGGTCAAAGTGCCTGCCAAAACCCTGAGACCTTGCACTGATCCCCAGAAACTTTAAAATCGCCAGACTTAGTGGCTCCCATCTGTAATCCCAGGCTCAGTACTCTGTAGTCAAATGGGAGGAAGAGAAATGGCTGGAGACTCAACACCACAGCAGAGAAATAACAAGAGACCCTGTCTCAAAATAACACGATAGAAAGCAACTCCAGACAGCTGTCCTCTGATATCATGCCGGCCACAGATTCAAGTATGCACATCCATTATTTCTTTCTTTTTACAAATTATGAGTTATGCAACTTAAAAGAGTACTATTTGAAACAGTATAAAGTATTTTAGTAGTAGGGCAAATGGGATATATATCTACACACACACACCCCTATATATATTAAAGTAGAGTTAATGTATCAGAGGTTTGCTACTCTTTCCTGTGAGGGAGATGACAGGAAGCACTTAGGGTTTTGTAGCCCTCTGGTGCCTCTCACAACTTTTCAATTTTGCAGTAAAGACTGAAAGGAGCCACAGGAAAACATATAAACAAACAGATGTGGCTATTATAATAAACTTTATTTAAGAGGAAAAGAAAAAAAAACAGTAGAATTCAACATATGGCCATAGTTTGAGGACTACATGTCATTTATTAGCACTTCAAGTATATATCAAACTAGAGTTCAATACAAAGAAACATCTAAATTGAGTATCTTTGAGGTGCTGGTAATGTAATTCTAATTGTGTCCACTAATAAAGAATAATACAAATAATGCTTCATGCCTAAGTCTTAAGTCTTTAGAAAATAAGGGAAAAAAAAGAGCCAGTCTGTGGGCTGGAGAGGTGGCTCAGCAGTTAAGAGCACTTGTTGCTCTTGTAGAAGAGCTGGGCTCAATTCACAGCACCCACATGGTAGCTCACAACCATCCACAGTTCCAGTTCCTGGGGACCTGAAGCCCTCTCTTTACCTTGTTGGACATCAAGTCCACAATTTAGGCAAAATAACATACACATAGCATGAAACAAATAAATCTTTAGAGAAAAATTTTGTAAAGAGCAAAGCTTGGCAGAGTGGTGCACACCTTTAATCCCAGCAGCATGGAGGCAGAGGCAGGCGGATCTGTGGGTTTGAAGCCAGCCTGGACTGTTACACAGGGAAACCCTGTCTCAAACAAAACAAAACAAAAACCCAGTCTGACTGCAAAGGATCTTGGGATTCTTTCTTTCCTGGTCCTGTTGTCACCGATGTCACCACCCTCCTGCAGCCTGCAGGAGTTCCAGAGGTTACACCCAGAGCCTGGGCATGCTTGCCCAGTGCTCTAGCCCTGAGCTCCAGCTCCGCTTCCAGTCCTCATCTCAGTGCATCTAGAAATTACCTGTGGCTTTCTGCTTGCCCTGCTCCTGTCTCCACTTAGAACACGAACTATACTCTCTAGAAAGGCTGTTTTCAGGAAGTCGGGGAGTGGGCAGTTGGTAGAGCATACGCTCAAAGGGCACGAAGGCCCTGTGTTTAATCCCCAGCACTGCAAAAGCTGGGTATGGTGGTGCACGTCTGTAATCCCAACCCTGGGACTGGAGGTAAGAAGATCAAAAGTCCAAAGTCATCCTCAGCTACCGAGTAAGGAGATACACTTCAAAAAAAAGAAAGGAAGAAAAGCTGGGGAGTGGACAGGAGATGGCTTAGTGGTTAAGAGCATCTGCCCTGCAAGCATGAGGGCCTGAATTTGAACCCTCAGCACCTACGTGAAAACAAAACAAACCAAGCACTGCTGCATGGGCTTGTAAGCCTAGCCTTGGGAGGCAGAGCTATGTGGCTGCCGGGCACTCACCAGCTAGCTAGCCTAGCCAGATGGAGTTTCCAGTTTGATGGAGAGCCTGTCTCAAGAGAGGAAGACAAACACCCTCCTCTCACTTCCACGTGTGCACACAGGCATTCCCACCTACTCAGATGTGTGCATCACACACACGAAGTTAAACACAGCTCATGGTAAAGTCTGTCACCATATCTTTTATGCTAACTTTTTCAGTCTTGTGTTTCTCAGTCAATAATATGTGGAGCATACCAGAAGATACGTCACAAGATAAACAGCATTTTATGGAATAGCAGCTTACTACTACAATAAATACAAACCTTTATTAATATACACAAAGTATACATATATGTAAACATAATGGAAGTGCATTATACTCTATATGCACATCAGCCTCTCTCTTCTGTTGGGGGTGGGACAGAGACAGGTGGATCCTAGGAGCTCAATTCTCCGCTCTCCCCCACCCCACCCCCCACCCCGTAGCCAAGGTAAGATTAGATTTACTGTAGTCCGAGTAAAGACTGGAAAACAGTGTTCTGAATACTTAGTTACAAGATTGGTTCTCCACTATTCCCATAAAATGTAGGTTCCAATTGTATGTGCTTTACTACATCAAAAAACAGGGGAAAAAAATTCGGTAGAGTGGTCATCCTGTTTAAACTGCTGCAACATAACAGATTAAATACTTTTACCAGCAAAGGGCTAGTGTTCACTAATGAATATGCTTTCAATCAGAGCCCAATAAGAAAGCTGGGCCTAAGGGACACAAAAGCTTTTTTCAATTCAATTCAGTGGTTAGGAAGTAAAGATAGAGATCAATATGTCAAGTTCATCCTTGATAACATAGCAACTCCAGACCTAGCTGGAATATATAAGATACTATCTCAAAAAAACCAAAAACAAACAAACAAACAAACAAACAAACAAACAAACCCAAAAACAAAAAAGAAAGAAAGGAAGGAAAAAAAAGAAAGAAAGGACAAAGAGAGAAGAAAAATCTCTTCTAGCTCTACAGTTCACAAGAGGATATTTAAATGCTGGGAACCAGGCATGATAATAGACATCTAATCCTAGACCCTGGAGACTATGGGAATCTCAAGATGGAGACCAGCCTGGACTACTGTAAGTCCCAGGCCAGCCTGAGATACATATGAAGACCTTGACTCAAAAACTGAAAAACAGTAAGTGACCATTAAATACAACACTGAAAATGATCATACGTAACCTGGTGTTGCTGGTTTGTCTCTGGGTTGGGACTGCAGACAAACTTCCCTGTCTGTTTCCTCTTTGGCCTGAACTGCCTGGGGTAAAGCTGGTTTCTCCCTTGGCTTCAATGCCTCTGTTTTCAGAGGACTAGTAGTTTTGTGAAGTAGCTCAGCATTTTGTGCCTCACGGTTCTTAGTACTTGGGATGAGCGTAGCAGATTTCACAGGGGAAGATGTCACTTTCTGAAACAGGGCAGACAACACACAGGGTAAACAGTAATTCTCAGCATAGTGGAGCAGCCACAAAACAACTCAAGTTCCACTTCCTTGGTGCCGTTATACAAAACGTAACAAAAATATATCACACTAACTTGAAAGGTTTTTTTTTAAATCAACTTATAAAATGCTGTTATTTAAATTAATAGGCAATTTATTCTCACAATATATTGATAGCTACGTAGTTATCAGGGGTAGGGTCACTCCCAATTTTATATAAAAAAAAATTCTCAAACTATTGTGCTAGTACTTTTATTAAACTTTTAAATTATGTTATATCACATATATATAATAATATATAAGTACATTATACTTTATATGTACTTTTAACTAAGTTAATATCAATTCAATAAGATATGAATTAAGTACTTCCTGACTCAAAGTACTTGGTATAGAGGTGTTTCAGACATTGGATTTCTTTTAAAATACTTACAACGAGGTATCATTGGGATGGGACACTAGCTTAAACATATGATTCAATTCTGATACACACACACACACACACACACACACACACACACACACACACACACACACACACACACACTAGACACTTCCTGGAAGCAATTTTATATCATCTTAAAAAAAATAATTTCAGTGGTGTCTCGTGCCTTTAATCTCAGCACTCGGGAGGCAGAAGCAGGCGGATCTCTGAGTTCAAGGCCAGCATGGTTTATAGGGAGAGTTCTAGAACAGCCAAGGCTATATAGAGAAACCCTGTCTCAAAAAACCAAAAGAAAAAATTTCTTCATGCAAGAAGGGTGGGGCTACAGCTCAGTGACACAGTATTTGCTTAGCATTCAGGAAGCCTTAGGTTCAGCTCCCAGTACCACAAATAATAGAATGCATGAAGCAAAGTTCCTTGTGGAATTTTCCACTTGTACTATCACAAGTGAGCACTCAGAAGGCTTCATTCAGATTTTTGAATCATTTCAGATTTTGAATTTTTGAGATTAGGAATGTTCAAATACCGTAAGAATCATAGATTTGAAAGTTGATTATAAAAAAATAACTAAGATTCAGCCAGGGATTATGCGAAGTATTTTATGCATATTAGCTTATCTTTCTAACAGCCCTCTTCCCTGATCTTATATATGGAAAAATAATCCTTTACAATATTAAGTAACTTGTACAAGGTCACATTTTTCACTGTTTCAGAACTGGGATTGAAGGTAGGTCTGAAATCCAAAATCTGTCCATACTGACAGGCCTTCAACAATGCTATCAACGTCCTTTTTCCTGTTGTTTTTAAACTACTGAGGTAACATTACACGTATAAAGTAAAAGTGTCAAACACTTCAAAGGGTCATACAGAGAAAGTGGTACCACTGACATTCCTGTTTGTCACTGTGCCTTCCTTGGAGACAACTACAAGTGCTCACTTGTGATACTACAAGTGGAAAAAAGTTTACACTTTCCAGAAATAGTCAACCTAAATTAATATAATTTCAGTCATAAAATGTTAATTTATCTTAGATGATTACCAAACTTATAGTTCTCACTTTTTATAAAACATTCTAAAAACACACAAATATGCTGCACATATACTATAGAGTACATAGCCACATTACCATTTACAACAAAAGTTTCAAAAGACCGAAATGGTATTGACTCACCACAGAGCTGGACGCTGAGGCTTTAAGCAATGGTCCCTCGGCAGCACTTGAAGATGGGGCTTTACTGACAGAGGCCTTGCCATCCCTTTGGGAACAGCATGTAGCTTCCTGCTGAACACTGCCACTATTGATGCTAGCAGATGCTCCACTTGCAGAGGAAGGTTTGGATAAACAAGTGGTACCAGGCTGTTCTTGTACACTATTTTGCTTTGCAGATGAGTGGCTTACATCATCTTCCCAGGAGCAAATCGTCGCAGCAAGGTTGGCCAGACGGCCCCTTCTCCCAACTGGGGTAGCTGAGGCATTTGGAAGGGGTGGCTTGGAAGGTGAAGCAGCCTTTTCCTCAGATGGCATTGATGACAAGAGTGAGCTTTCTGGTACATCATCTGAAAATGTTTTCAGAAAAATCAAAATCCACATTCAACAGTTACTCTTACGTATAATCACATGATCATTTCATATGGAATTCTTAAACAAGATTAATTGCATTCATGAAATATTACATTACTTAAATGTGACTTTTTCAAGTCAAATGATAGAAACTTAATCCAAATTGAAACACTCTTAACATGTACTTTCACAGGTTTGTTTTCTTTGATAGATTACAGCTGCTATATGTCACCATTACTGGGTGATAGCTAAGGATAAAGTGCCTGTAACTCAAGCATGGGGAGCTGATTCTGAATCTTAACAACCCATGTAAAGCTGGACACAATAGTGAGAACACATGTGCTAAGGCACACATATAAATCGCACACAAGCAAGTGAAATGTTTACAATTTATGATACTGCATATTTCACAGTTAATTCATGGAGTTACAATACTGAACAATCTGTATCCTACTGAAACCATTTGTTTTAAAAGATGAAGTCAACTGACGACGACGCACAACATAAAGCTCTAGGATAATAGGGGCCCACATCTACACATCCCAAACGGCAGGCATTCGCCACATGTGGTTAGGGCACTGAAATGTGGCCAGGGGAACTGAGAAATGGACCCTTATTTGAATTAATTTAAACAAAACAGTTACTTATGGTAAGTCACTGTTTGGAGCACAGGGTTGAATAATTCTGTATTTCAAATCTCACCTAATGAAGGATCTAGGCCTGTATGTTCAAAAAGCATGTATATAGGGAAACCAAGGTTTGGGGCACACCATTCTCTCTATATACAATCAAGAGAAGAGACCCCCCCCCCTCCTTCTGCCCAAGCTTCTACCCTGGCCTGAAATTTTAATTCCACCCCTCTAAAACCTCAGTAATCTTGTTCCAAAATATTCTTCCTCCCTATAAACTCTTTCAGCACATAAATACGTGCTGAAATAAGTTCATTTTACTTAAAAAAATAAGGGCTGTTAAAATGAATACAGATCATCGGTTCTCAAGCTGTGGTTCTTGAAAGACCCTTTCAGAGTGGTCACCTAAGACCATCTGCATATCAAATATTTACATTTTGATTCATAACAGTAGCAAAACTACAGTTATGAAGTAGCAATGAAAATAATTTTCTAGTTGGGAGTCACCACAACATGAGGAAGTGTATTAAAGGGCTGCAGCATTAGGAAGGGTGAGAACCGCTGTGATAGATGCCTGCTGCCAAGGTTGACAATCTGAGTTCCATTCCCCAGACCCACATGGTGGAAGGAGAGAACTGAATCCTGCAAATTGTCCTCTGAACACCACATGAATCTCACACACACACACACACACACACACACACACACACACACACACACGCTTAAAAATAATAAAAATAAACCCTTTAAAATAAATAAAAATAAAAAAGGGAGGGAGGAGGAAATCTCAAACTTGCTGTTGTCCAATAGTAATCAAAATTTCAGTTAAGAAGCATAGTAACGAGGGGCTGGGGAAATGGCTCAGTGGTTAAAAGTACTTACTGTGCAATTACAAGGACTGTTATTCAGATCCCAGCACCATATAACAAGCTAGGCAACCTGCACACCCTGAAACTCCAGCTCTGTCTCCAAAGGATTCACTGCCCTCTTTCTCTCCTCCACACTGGCACAGATGTGCAGCTGCATGCACATATATACTCAAGCAGACATATACATGCACACAAACATACATGTGCTAAAATAAATATTCTTTTAAAATTTCAGTGCAGGGGCTGTGGAGATGGCTCAGTGATTAAGAGTACTTGCTGCTCTCCCAGAAAACCTAGGTTCAGTTTCTAGCACCCACATGGCAGCTTTCAACCGTCCCAGGGGATCTGACACCCTTTTCTGGGCTCAACAGGCGTCAGGCATACATGTGGTATGCATGGTTACATGCAGGAAAACTCATAATTTTTTACATTAAAAAATGAAGTTTATCAATTTATTCAGATTGCTTCATCTTAGTTCTGGCTATGCACCCTAATTAAAGGGTTCTATAATCCAGAGACAAAAGCACATCTTGGGTTCTCCATACTTCTGAGATGTTAATCCAAAATTTTTCCTATCTACATTTTCTCTGGACCTTAAGTTCCTTTTTAAATACAATATGGGTATTTCAGGAAGCCATTTCAAGGATTTTACCTAACAAATCAGGACATCAGTAAAGTTAGTCATGACAAAAATAACACTGGTACATAACCACTAACTTGTCTGCATGTAAGGTTCAGTTACCTATCTGTTTCCAGAACTGTGCGTAAGAATATGCTTACAGTTCAATATACTGGGGTTGGGGAGTATTTTGTTTTGATTTTTCCCCCCCTACCAAATAGCACCTTTGTCTCTTTATTTGATAAGTGAACTGAAGACCTAGGATTTCCTGAGTATAGAGCTAAGAGTCAGGACATTTTCAGTGCAAACAGGAAGTAATTTGTTGTTAGGTGAAGTTTCTCTACTAATTCAAGAACCTCAATGTCTACTTCAGAGAGAATGTTTCACTCTCATTCATTGTTTTTATGGATATACTCCTGGTATATAAATCATCTACAAGCCAAGAATACATATACAGATAAAACAAAAGTACTTATCTTTCATGCTACTCCAGGCTGGCCTCAAACTTACAATCCTCCTGCATCAGCCTCCCAGGTGCTAGGATTACAAACATGTACCACCACATCCAGCTCAAAGCTGAATCTTGGAAACCCAGGGACCACCCCACCGTCATTTAATACCTGCTATATCGCTATCCCAATGGCGCCGTTGCTCAGCAAGCTTCTGCATTCGCGTTTTCACTGAGGAGGCAGCAGAGGCTTCTGATCTTGAGCTCAGCCCTCTGCCCATGCTGAGTAGCGACACTGGGGCAGCCACAGAGTCACTGATGGCAGCTGGTGCTGGGGGCTCTGCTTGAAGGGGCACAGGCCTTGGAGAAGAAGGCTTTGCAGCAGCTGACTCAGCAGGTTCTTTATTTTCTAAGTCCAAAACTTCGAGTTCAGCTTTGTCAGAACATCGTTTTTTTGATGGTGATGGCTTTGTACAAGATTTCTCTAGATCCAAAAGAACAACAAAAACCCACGCTGAAACCTCTGCAATTTCACAGTCTGAAAAACTAAGAGGTGGGTGCTTAACAATAAGGGAGCGAATTTCTCTAATACTTTAGCTACTTTTGTGTAAGAAAAATGCAAAAACCTCTCTTCCATTAACTGTGAAATAAGACAAACTTTTAGGCCAACATGTCATTAAAAAAACCTCAATGAAAACAAATTTAAACATTTTCAAGATGTATACATAAGATTTTATATAGTTTTAAGACAACAGGAAATAAACAGTCCATACACAAGAATAAGCAAGCACTCTAAAGAATTTTAAGGATCTCACAGCTCAACCACATTATTTTAAGGGAAGAAAAAACATCAAGCCTGGAGAGAGTCTAGTTGCAGAAAACAGGTCTTCTCTTTCGTTTGTTCATTTGTTCGTGTTTTCTTTTTTTTTTTTTTTTTTAAACAACCTTCCCTGGACAATAACTAAAGCGAAGCAGAAGGGCACCTCGCTTGAGGCTGGGGAGAGACGCGGGCTCTGTGGCAACTGAACTACCACTGCTCTGTACCAAACAAAATCAGTACAAATATTCAGCATCTCATAATTTAAACTTCTATGAACATCTATAAAGTAAGTGAAAAATCCTAAAGGCATCATTCAAGATAAGGCATTTTACTTCTACCTAAGAATCAGTCTCAATGTACCTCTTAAAATTAAGAGTATGTGTATGCGTTCTCTTCTGCGTGTGGCACAGATGTGTGCAGCTACACTCAGAGGTTGACACGGGTGTCTTCCTCCATGCACTCCACCTTACCACCTTGAAGCAGGATCTCTCTCTTGAACTCAGAGCACATCAATTCAGATAGTCTAGATCTCCAGCTTGTCGTGGCAACCTTGTCTCCACCTCCTGTGTCCTTGTCATGCCCCAGAATTTACATGTGTGCTGGGAATTCGAACTCCAATCTTACAATTGTGTATCAAGTACTTTATCCGCTGAACCACCTCCCCAGCCCAGCACATCACTATTTTAAACAAGAATGAAAGGCCAGCGAGACAGCTCGAGAGCAAACGTGCTTGCTACACATTCCTGGTTACCTGAGTTTGCTGCCCAGAGCTCACATGAAAGGCGAAAAGAGAAAAGCAAGTCTATGGAATTGGCTTATGACCTCCACACATGCACCAGGGCACACTTGCCCGCACATAGAACAATGTATTCTTTTAAACAAACAAAAAATTGGGAGATGCCCGCTGGAAAGATGATGGTTCAGCGGCTAAGAGCACTGTGCTCTTCCTTCCAGAGGACCCAGAACCCACATGGCAGCTAACAACTGTCTACAATGCCAACTCCAGGGGTCTCAGTGCCCTCTTCTGGCCTCCTTAGGCACTGTACACATGTGCTGCACACACGCGTGCAGGCAAAACATCCATACACATAAAATAAAGACAAGTAAATCAGAAAAAGTTTTAAACTTTTGAAGTTAAGAATGTGAACTTCATAGATAACCAAGTTCTCTGTCCCTGCTTCTGGCAGATTTGAGACCTAACGACTGAAAGGTAACAGCTGCTCCTGCCCCATTGGCTGGTGCATTTGTCTCCCAAAGACTGCTTTTCAATGTGCATAATGAAATGCTCGGTGCTTATGTCTTCCAACATCCATGCCATTTTTATTTTTCCCACGGTTTTTTTTTTTGTTGTTGTTGTTGTTTCTTTACCTTCGCCCCCTGACAGGGGCTGCTGGTTACTTGCTTCTGACAGGGGCTCTCTGCCTCGCTTAGCATGCAGTGCAGACCTTGCTGCTGCCGTGGGCCTCTCAGCCAGTTTTCTCTGAAGATTCTCTCGTCTGGCACGGGTTCGTTCAAGCAACTTCTATATTACACCAGTGTAAAAACACAAGGTTAGCCAAAGGTTGACAAAACCTCAGATGCCTTCTAAACCAACAAAAGCTTTGCAGGATAACAGTCAAACACATTTAAATTCCAAGTAATCAAACCAAGATTTACCAAATGAACAAGCACCCCAGCATCAAAATTACTAAATTCAATATAAATATTAGTAAGCAGTGTATAAAGATACTTACATAAGATTTTAAATGCTGTGAGTTTTCTGTTCCACTCAAAAGGTATAACTTGAGACTGGGGTGATAGTTTAGTGGATAAAGAGCCTGCCATACAAGCATAGAGACCTAAATTTGGATCCCCAGTACCCACAGAAAGCCAAGCATGGTGGCATGCATCAGGAACCACTGGGGAGGGACAGATTCAGATTCTTAAAACTCAATCTAGCCAACCAGTGAGTCAGACTGGGTGAAAAATCCTATCTCAAAACCTAAGGTGAAGAAAGACTGAGGAAGAGGCACGTCAAACCCTTGCCTCCAGGTGCACATGCATGCACACCTGCACACATAGCCACACAAGCACATACACACACAAAGGAAATCTGTACCACCCTGCTTGAATCTGTGCTGGCTGCCAGGCCTGATGATTTGCTTTGATTAGTAAAATACGGCAGAAGTAACACACTATGTGACTAAGAGTCTTACAGTCTCTGCACTCCCTTTCTTGGACTGACACTGAAGGGACACTAGCCCACTTGAGCACGTGGCTCTGGCAGGCCTTGCCCTCCCCCATTCCCTCTGCCGTGCTAAAAAACCTTTAGATTACATCCCTAAAGCTAGCCACCAAGGTCTCTTCTCTTATTTGTCCACTTCCTCCTCCTGAGGCTGACTCCCAAAGTCCAGCAATCAAAGCCCCCTTTGACTCATGTAATTAACACAGCCAATTAAAATTAAAGGCCTCGTCCTAACATGGGGTTCCCCCTTTACCTTGTAAACTGCCATATGCCTATGTGCTATGTCTGTCTCCTCTCTGTCCAGAGGCAGTCCTCTGTCCCTCTGGGACAAATACTCCTGTCCCTTTCCTTCTCCCCTCCCCCTCTGCCCGCATTCCCTATCCCCTTTACCTCCCCATCCTATCCCCTTCTAACACAGACCTCCCTTTTCACCACTTAAAAATTCCACTGCAGGGTCACTTGCTGCTGTTTTCTGCCTGAGTCAGAAGCAGCCGCTGTAACTTTTCTTCCCCACTTAATAAAGGCTCTCTCTGTGAAAACAGGTGTTTGAGTGTGGTCAAAAATCGGGGGTCAGGGAGGAAGCCACCACTGTTGGGGTTCTCCTTCAGGCACAGCATGTGACAAGTCCAGGGTTGGCATGTAGAGAAACAACTCCACTGAAAGCCAGCATCGTGGCACCTAGCTCCAGATAATCTATTCAGAAACGCTCCACGACTCCAGACAAACCAACTGAGGAACAACAGCCAGCTGAGCCCAACACGAAGTCCTGCTCCAGGGAATAAAAAGTGGCTCTGGCTGTGCAGGAGCAGGCGGGGATGGCGGTGAGATCGCTCAGGAGGACAGAGCACATGCTGCAAAGCTTGACGCTAGAATTCAATCCCTGGAACCTACGTGGCGGAAGGAAAGAACCAACTGTTTTCTGAGTTCCACACGTGTGCCTGGCATGCATGCACTACCACCCCCCCCCACACACAAGTGAATAAATGTAATTTTGTTTGTCTGCTTGTAAATATACACACATGCATCTATCTACATGCCCATGGAGGCCAGAAGAGGTGGTTTCGAGCCACCCAATGCAGGTGCTGGGAACAGAACTCCATTCCTCTGGAAAAACAGCTTTGTTTAACCCCCGAACCATCTCTACCAAGAAAAAATTTAAATTAAAAAAAATATGAGTATATGCCTGCATATATGCAGACAACATGCATGCCTGTACCCATGGAGGTCAGAAAAGGACATTTGCCACTGGAACTGGGAATTATGGATGGCTATGAATTACCATATAGGTGCTGGGAACAAGGCCCAAGTCCCCTGCAAGAGCAACATGTGCTCTCCACCACTAGCCATCTCTCTAGCCTCCCCCATTTAAAAAAAAAATATTAACAGAAAGTAGTTGTTTAAGTCAATATGCTAGACAGAAAAATGGTCCCTCAAAAATGCTTGTGTTCTAATCTTTTGGAATCTTGAAGTGTAAACACTATTCTGGGTTTTCTGAGGAGACTCCACAAAGCACAGTGGTTCTTAGTTACAGTGGGAAAAGGAGGCAGGAAGATCCGTCAGGAAGACGATGCCAGAAGCAGATGTCAGGATGTTGAGAATGAAGCTCTGAAAATGGACAAAGGTGCCAGAAGCCAAGGTATGCAGAGAATCCTGAAGTTGAAAAGGTCTAATAGATCTTCTCCTAGAGCTTCCCGTGGCGACATATTATGTCCCCTTTTAAACTTGCCTGAGGATCAGAGGACAGCCAGCCACTAGATTAGACACAGAGGTCAGGCAGTGGTGGCACACACCTTTAATCCCAGCACTTGAGATCTCACGCCTTTGCTTAGGAAGCACACATGCCTTTAATCCCAGAAGTAATATGGCAGGGCAGAGAAAGGTATACAAGGCATGAGGAAACAGGAACTCACTCTCTTTAGGTGAGGATTTTGTAGAGGTAAGAACTAGTGGCTGGCTGTTCTGCTTTTCTGATCTTTCAGCTTTCACCCTGATATTTGTCTCTGGGTTTTTTTATTAAAAGACCATCTAAGATTGGAACAACAGCTTCCAGAAGGAATGAAATCTTACCCACACTTGACTCTGACTTGATAAAACCCACTTCAGACCTATGACTTATAGAACTGAAAAACAGTAAGTGTCTAAGTCACTCATTTGTTTGTTTTCTGAGAAAGGTCTCCTGGACCTCATTATGTAGACCAGGCTGGCCTCAATCCCATAAGAGATGCACTAGCCTCTGCCTCCTTAGTGCTAGGACTGAAGGTGTGCAACACAACACCCAGCTTAAGTCACTGAATTTATAATTTGTTACAGCTTCAAAACTAATACAGATGCTCAGATCTGAAGCTATGACAAACAGCAAAAAAATGACCCAAATAGGAAGTCTTTCATAGCCCACTTCCCAAGGAGAAAAATGCTAAATAATCCTGTGTTTTATTAAATAAGTACCAAGACAAGATAAAATAGTTATACTTCAAAGCTTAGCCACTGGTAAAGTCATGACTATTCCTTTTTTCTTACTCTGAATCAATAGACATTCCAATTTGAATCACTGTGGTATAAAACAATGTATTCTCCCTCAAATGTTCACAATTAAAGGACACAGATAATCATTACGCTGCAAACATAGAGCAGTAATTAATACAGATTGAGGATGAAGCTATTTATTTGACCTGTTTAATTCCTTGATTAAAACAGAACAATTTTAAAAACCCGTCTAGAAGGAGCATGAGGCCTACCAAGTGTGGTGGCCGCTCTTGTAGTCCCAGTACTCGCAAGGCTGAGGGGAGAGGTAGAAAGATCATGAGTGGGAAGCCAGTATGGGATACAAAACTAGTTCAAACTAGCCTAGTCTCTAAAGCAAGACCCCACCTAAAACAAAACATGAATTAAATCTGGATTAAGGCACAACCCTCTGCACTTAGAATATCTTCTAACTTAGGTTCATTGAAAGGATCGACACTCAATCAATCAAAATGCTATGTGATTAAAATATTGTATGCGCCCAGGACCTTCATCCCCTAAAGAAGTCTCCTTCAACAAACTCAAGGGTGATCAGACTGCCGTACAAATTCCTAACAGTTTGGTAATCTCCGGCCTTAAATACATGACTGAAAAAGCAAAAGCACCCTACTTATATCCATCCGTGGACATGCCCAACATTCCACTCCCTGTAGTCAAGCACTTGAGTCAGCTGCCATGAGCAATGACTCACAACAGATGTGGTTTTGCCATTCAAATGCACACAAGTGCTCTCCTGTTTGCAATGGAGTCAAAACTCAGATGATAAAAGAAAATAAAATTTAAATACTCTAAAGAACAAAATAAGGGTAATAAGTGCCAAAGGGTTTTTATTGAAGAAATAATATGTCCTCTAAATTACATAAATGTAAGTGCTCAGTATTTTAAGTAGACCTTCCTAATATTGCCATCATTTAAATATAAAATATTTTCCTTCTCCCCGCCCCCAAATAGGGTGGAGAACATAAAAAGGAAAGCAGTGGGAGAGAGGGATGAATTAAAACCAAGGAAAATGACACCTGTGTATGAGAAGGCTGTGATAAAACCCATTACTTAGAATGCTCTGTCACTTTTTAATCCCAGCTTCAGTTGGGTGTGGCAATGCACACGTATAATTCTAGTACTCTGAGTTAAATGTGAGTTTAAAAAGCAGAAAAGGCAGGTAAGTGAGAACATGTTGGACATCAGGGCAGCAGGGAGAAGAAAAGCCCAAGGAAAACAGTATTTACCAGGACTGTAGCACTTGAAACAGGAGTTATTAAGAAAATTAGACACTAATGTCCTGCCATTAATGTAACAAGTTAATTTCTTTTCTGTTTTATGACAGCATTGGTAGGGAATCATCCTGGGAGAATTTTTTAAAAATAATTTTCTGTGTTGCATGGTTTTGAGTAAGACACTTGTTGAAAAAGTCATTTATACTGACATTCAGTCCTTTTTTTAGTCCAAAAAAAAAACTGTATCAGAAATTCATTTCCCAGTACAAAAATGTTATGAAGGCTATTGAGTACCTAGTAGTCGGAACTCACTCACAGTGTCCTCATTACCAATTAAGGTAAAGATGTCAGAGCCGTGATTCCAACTTCAACGGACCTAGCTTTTTATAACATAAACTATGAGTTAAGGCATGCACATTTCCAAACACATTCCAAAATGGCCCAAGCAGGAAGTTATTTTCATCTGAGTTCTGTACTAGCTTCAAAGGGCATTTTAAAGTAAAAGTGCAAATTCCAACCAGCTTCCCGAAGAGTTTTGCTCTCGTCGGTTACTAAGAACATACGGCGTTACTCAGAGTAATTCTCTTCTTTTAGTAATATAATATCATTTTTCATGTCAATATAACCTAGAATTGTGGTAATTTTTACTGGCATGCAAGTTTTAAGAATAAATATATTTTCAATACACATATATTTTGAGACAAGAGTTCTCTGTGTAGCCCTGGCTGTCCTGGAACTCGCTCTGTAGGCCAGGCTGGCTTGAACTCAGATCCTCCTGCCTCTGCTTCCTGAGCGCTGGGATTAAAGGTGTGCGCCACCACCACCCAGCTGACATAATATTTTTAAAAGATTCACTGTAAGTGACAGATTATTTGGTAAATAGTCATCCCTGTTCTCTAAAGCGGCTACAAAATATGTCCTAGATGTTTCTATTAGAATATTTTTTTCAATTCATTTATTTTTATGTGTATGAGTGTTTAGCCTTCATCACACGTCTATCTATCCGGTGCCTGTGTAGGCCAGAAGAAAGCATTGGATTTCCTGAGACTGGAGTTACAGACTGCTGTGAGACTGGAAGGGGTGCTGGGACTTGAACCTGGGTCCTCTGGAAGAGCAGGGTTCTTAACAGCTGAGCCATCTCTCCAACCCTCTTCTAGAATGACTAAAGTTAACAAAGTGTTGTTTCCCTCAAGATAACAGAGAACTTCAAACGTGGGAAAAGCCTGTCATGTTGAAACCTTTAATTGTTGAAACCCTAAATGTCTTGGGCTTAGCTTATGACTAAGTTATGTACTTACTAAGTACACTACCCAAATTAAATTACTCCTACCTTCTATGACATTTTCCAGTGTAGTACAGAAACACTGTATGCCCACTTTGCAAAACTCACAATATAGTCTTGACATCTGCGCAACAGTTTAAAGAAAGAGAAATAAAGAAAAGGAGGAACTGCCTTGGAATAAGAGTGGGCAAACAGCACCGGGAAAGTCCTTAATGTCAGTGCACAGCTGCAACATGAAGCTAAAACTGGAGATAAATAATAATAATAGGATTCACAACGTAAGCTAGACCCTATTCCCAAGGAGACGAGGAAGGTCTTGTTTGGAACGATATGCTCCAGTCTAATTTTGGTTTGTTCAATAAGCCTGTTTCCTTTCAATCAGTGTTAATCCTGCGCTTGGGACTTCTGAAGTTAGCAGGGCAGTGACGTCTGGAGGAACTAGCGGCTAAAGCACCTGCTCACTTGGACTTGGCTGATTTCATCACAGGATTCTTAAGTGCACAGCCCTCGGGGCCCGTGAACCCTCTATCACTTCCCATCAGATTCCAAGCACTCAGTCCGAGTCACTGGGCGGACTCCACCCTGCCAACGATTCCAGCTTTCCGGGAGGGCCGGTCCCATCAGGCCCCAAGCCGCCCTCTCCCAGGAGCAGGCAAGACGACTTAGGGTAAAGGAGGGAAGGGCGCTTTAAGTCCCAGGGAACCGAAGGGCAGGGTCAAGCTAGAGCAGTCCGGCGCTCGCACCCAGTGCCAGCCCTCGGGAGGTGGAGGAAGGCCGGCCTCGGCTACGTAGAGTTCGGGGCTTAGCGTGGGGTTTTGAGGCCCCGTCTTCCCTGCCTTCCCCTGGAACAGCCAGAGCTCCAGGCGCCGGGCGGCAGAGCCTGGGAGGCTGCGACCCCGCGGCTTCCGCCCGCCTGCACGCTCGCGGCGCGCACGCGCGATGCGGCCCGCCGGTGGGCCGCGGGGCTGACAGCCAGCGCGGGCGGGGGTCCGCGGGGGGTCATGGTTCACAGCACCCGCAGGGTCGTCTCTCACCTCCGTAAACGGGTCCATCGCCCCAGGCCTCCCGCGTGGACTACGAGACGGTGGGTCCGGTGGTTCAAATTCAGGAAAAGGAAAGAAGTGAGTGCGGGCTCGGCGCGGCTCCCGGAGGAAGGCAGGAGTCCGGGCGGCGGGCTCTCCCACACCCCGTCGCCGCTGGCCTCGGCACCGGGGCTCCGTCCGCTACCTCGGGCCGTTCAAATTTGAATTTCAGCGCCCCGGACGGCGCGCATGCGCGCGGGGCCGGGCGGGGCCCCGCCCCCGAGCCGGGTCACGTGGCTCGGCGGCGCTCGGCCGGGTCGCGAGCTGCGGGCCTCCTCCCTCGCCGGCGTGGCTGGGGACGCTCCCGCCGTTGAACTGCCTGCGGCGAGCGCCTGCTGCCACGCACGCACCCACGCATGCCCCAGCGGGCCCTTCGGTGACTCCGGCAGCTCGCCCTGCCTTTTTACTCGGTGGGCCTTACGAACCCGGTCCGGGTCCCGGCTGGCCCTCGAGCCTGACGGTAATTTGTCTCCTGCCACCAGAAGAGGCGTCGGACTGCGAGCCTGACCCTCCTGAGGGGCTCCTCTGGTGGGTCCCCACACCCGCACCTAGTAACTCGTCCCTTGTCCACGGGGAAAATGAGCCAACCGTAGTAGACCGTGCCACAAGTTCCCTCACAGGCCCTTCGGGTTCAGATCCCAGCCCCCTGTACCCTGTGTCAGCCCTGGGAACACTTGAGAAGCCTTCTGGCTCAGTCTTCCACATTTGAGAGAAGGCACGATTGAAAAGCCCGTTATTTAATAAAAAGATCCCGTTTCCCAGCCAGTAAGCAGGGCAGAAACTACTTCCCCAATGTCTCGTAATCCGAGGTTCTTTTTCCTCTTCCTGGGAGGGTCTTTTGGAAATCCTCAGTGCCTACCTATCCTTTGACCTTCAGACAGGCTTTCCATGAAGCAGTCTTAACAAAACAGGGCTGTCAGATCCTGACTGTAGAACTGTTTGCCTTTATACCAAAAAAGGTTGAGAAAGCACCGAAATCTGCATGCTCTGTGTGCCAGGTTGGTGCTATGAGACCTAAAGTCCTTAGGAGAGTGTGTAAGAGAAAAATACATCAACAAGGCCTAATGGTGAGCTCATGTGTGCTAAATGGGCCCGTGACAGGATCGAGTGTGCTTTCCTTGTTGAGCAGAAAATCGTTGTGAACATGTTGAAGGGTCAAGTCAAGAGTCAGAAAACTAAATAAAAACAGGAAGCTTGGGACCAGTAACAGGGACCATGTTATGAAGGTACTTGCTGCCAAGCCTTGAGACCTGAATTCTAGGCCCAGAATCAGTTCCAGCAAATTGTCCTCTGACCTGCACACACACAGAAAATAAATAAATCTAAAAACAACAAAGGAAAATAATCTATAGATTATAATAAATCAAATTCTGGACATGGAATAAGAGCAACTTCTTAAGAATCCAGCTTCCACACTGGGTCTACAGTATAAACTTTCTCAGTTCCTTGGAGCTGTGGAATAATAAGAAAAAAAAAAGTGAGACGAGCTGTGTCTAAGTGTGCTGTGTGTGGGGTTGTTAGCATGTAAGTCAAATGTGCTACCGATGAACCAAAGGGAAAGGATGCCTGAGCCTAAGGGTGTGTGCATGTGGGGTGTGGCTGTCCATCTTGGGAATGAGTCATTGGAAATTTATGCAGCCGTTGTGCCTTGAGGCCGTTGCCTCTGTGATCCATGGTTTCGTTATAAACAGCAATTTGATTCGAGCCAACTTGAATAAAGCAGCGTGGCTACTCTGAACTTGCAGTTTCTCTCACCTTACAAACCCTGAAGTAGTGGCCTTCGATTATATCTTAATTGTAGTGGCAGCTGGGACAGCAGCTCCCATCAGCACAATAGATTCCACGTATGAAAGCAGAACCCATGCTACAGATTCAAAGCTACCCTACTAGACTGATGCAGTTGTCTCCTGACATGTCTACACGAATTTCTGACCCACGGCAGTTCATTCTTATATTTATAACCTGGAATAATTTTTTTCATTTAAAAAAAAAATCATTGCAGTTGGCTGTTTGAAACCTGGAGCTTGTGCAGGGACACTTGGCTCAGGCTGGGAGGAAGGGACTGGACCTGCCTGGACTGAGTCTACCAGGTTGATCGCAGTCCTCAGGGCAGGATTTGCCCTGGAGGAGGTGGAAATGGGGGGTAGGGTGGGGGTAAGGGGAGGGGGTGGGAGAGGGGAGAATAGGGGAACCCGTGGCTGATATGTAGAACTGAATGGTATTGTAAAATAAAATAAATAAAATTTAAAAAAAATCATTGCTGGGTGTGATGGTAATGCATTCAATCTCAGCACATAGGAGGAGGAGGCAGAAGAATCAGGAGTTCAAGGCCAACCCCTGTCTAAGAAAAAAGAGACGACAACACATACATACCACATTGTATTCATTTAAGATGATAGCCAAGGAGCTGGAGAGATGGTTGAGCAATCAAGATCACTGGCTGCTCTTCCCAAGACCCAGCTTCACTTCCCAGCACCCAGGGGGAGGCACACAATCATCTTTAACTCCAGTCCCAGGTGTCCAGTTCCCCTTCAGCCTATGTGGACACCAGGTAGGCACATGATGCACAGACATACATGCAGACAGAACATCCATACACATAAAGAAAATCTTTTTTAAAAAAGACAATCTCAGCCGGGCGGTGGTGGCACACACCTTTAATCCCAGCACTCGGGAGGCAGAGGCAGGTGGATCTTTGAGTTCGAGGCCAGCCTGGGCTACCAAGTGAGTTCCAGGAAAGGCACAAAGCTACACAGAGAAACCCTGTCTTGAAAAACCAAGCAGAGACAATGAGCCCTAGAAAATGAGTATTTCCCCTTGGGATGATCTGTTCTTTCAAACAAATAATTATGTCTCCAAAAGTAAGTTCCAGGATAGCCAGGACTGTTACACAGAGAAACCTTGTCTCAAAATACCAAAACAAAACAAAACAACCAAAAGTAGTAGACAGGAATAAACATAGGGCAAACATTAATGAAATAGATATAAACAAATACAAGGAATCAATAAAATAAAGCTTTGGTTCCTTAAAAACATATAGTATTGACAGACCCTTAGCCAAACTAGCCAAAAGAAAGAAAGTGAAGGCCCTAATTAACAATATTCAACATTGGCCAGTCATGATGGCACATGCTGTTAACATTTACACTCACTCTGGGAGCAGAGGTCAATGAATCTCTGGCCTATGTAGTGAGTTTCAGCAAGACTGCACAGTGACACCCTGTATCTTAGGGTTTTATTGCTCTGAAGAGACACCATGACAATGACAACTCTTTTTTTGTTGTTGTTTTGTTTTGTTTTGTTTTCAAAGACAGGGTTTCTCTGTGTAGTTTTGGTACCTGTCCTGGATCTCACTGTGTAGACCAGGCTGGCCTCGAACTCATAGAGACCCGCCTGGCTCTGCCTCCTGAGTGCTGGGATTAAAGGCATGCGTCACCACAGCTGGGCTGTTTTCTCTGATTGTTTTTTAAATTTATTATTGTATGTGTATGGGTGTTTTGCCTGCATGAGTATCTGTGAGCCCTATTCCTGCCTGGTGCCTCTGGAGGCCAGAGAGAGTGTTAAATACCTTGGAACTAGAGTTATAGAGCCACCATATGGCAACTAGGAATAGAACTTGGGTCATCTGGAAAAGCAGCCAGTGCTCTTAACCATGGGGCATCTCTCCAGCCTTCTCACAGAATTTTTAAATATAGATGCTGGTGGCTACAAAAGTCCTTCTGGTTGTTTTTCTTGTATACCACAGATTTTGGTATGTTGTGTTTTAATTTTTACTTAATTTCATGCATTTAAAAATTTCTGTCTTGATATTTTTTAGTGGCTCAATCAGCAGTCAATGGTGTATTGTTTAATGTCAACAATTCTGTATATTTTCTGTATTTCTTGTCTGGTTGATTTCTAGCTTTATTCCACCATCATCAGATCAAATATAAGAAGTTACTACAATTTTTCTATACTTATTGAAATGTGCTATGTGTCCTGGTATATGGCATATTTTAGAGGGAGTTCAACAGCTGCTGAAAAAAATGCATATTCTGCAGTATTTGCATGGAATGTTCTCTAGATGTCTGTTAAGTCCATTTGATACATGATGCCATTTAACTCTGATGTGCCTCTGTTTAACTTTTGTTAGAATAACCCCTGTAGGATACAAATTACTGTGTTCTAGCATGACTTAGATTTTTCTGTAGACTCTTGTATTTTATCTTTCCCTCAGCCTGAAGAATTCTTTTTAGTGACCTCTGTTGAGCTGCATTATTGGTCGTAAATTTCTTTAGCCTGCTTTTATCATGGAAAATTTTTCTTTATCCTTCAATTACAGCAGATAGTTTTGCTGGGTATAGTAGTCTGTCTTGGCAGCTCTGGTCTTTCAGAACCTGAAACATTTCTCCAAGCCTTTTTGGATTTTAAAGCTTCTATTGAGCAGTCTGCTAGTGTTTTTATGGGCTTGCCTTAATATGTGCTTTGATATTTTTATTTTGCAACTTCCAATGCAATTTCTTTTCTTTCTTTTTTTAATTTGCTCATAATATTCATTAATTACAGTCATGATATTAATTACATTTGTGGTATTCATTGATTGAAAAATAATTATATCTCTAGTAGATAAAATTAATAGCTAAAAACCACAAAAATGTAATAGCATTAACTTCATCAAGGACACTACAAATATATACATTTCCAGTTAATTTTTCAAAATTTACATACATTCTCACAATTGACAAAATAATACAATAACTTAGATATTTGTATTTTTACAGAGAGAGAAAAGGCCAAGACCTGACCAGAAGGCTGTGGCAAGAAGGATCAGACAAAAGTTCTCCGCCTCAGGTTATCTGGCTGATCAGCCACTCCTTTTGTATGTGTATTGTAATGAAGGAATAAGAACTACAAAACATTGATACCAAGCGGGGTGCAGGGTGATTTCGGTGCAGGACTAGCCTTGGCTGCACAGTGAGTTCCAAGCCAGCTTGGGCTACCTAGTAAGACCTTGTTTCAAACACCCACAGTATTTTATATTTTGGTGGGCATAGCGGTTTGTGCTTGTAACCCCAGCCTCTTCAGATAGACACCATGAGAGCATCACCAGTTTGAAGCCAGCTGGGTCATTTAGTGAGATTCTGTCCTAACTAAAAATGGGCTGGCCGGGCGGTGGTAGTGAACGCCTTTAATTCCAGCACTGGGGAGGCAGAGCCAGGTGGATCTTTGTGAGTTTGAGGCCAGCCTGGTCTACAGAGCAGATCCAGGACAGGCACGGAAACTACACAGAGAAACCCTGTCTTGAAAAACCTAAATAAATAAATAAATAAATAAATAAATAAATGAATGGGCTTGGGTGTGGCTCAGTGACAGAGCTTGTATGGCACATAGGAGAGGCCTGCCCTGTGTATAACCCTTACTCCTGGAGGGGGAGGGGAGTACCACTCTATTCTTTCCTTCCTCTTCACATCTTGCCCCATTTCTACTTTCATGGGATTTGTTTTCTTTTTTTTGTTTGTTTTTGTGCCCTAATGAGTTTAATTATGATTACTTGCAGGGAAATGGGCTTTATTTTATTTGGTTACTTTCTTTTCCTCTGTTTTGTTTTAAGCCAGAGTCTCATGTAGTCCAGGCTGACCTCCACTTCCTGTGTAGCTGAGGCTAGCTCTGAAGTTCGGATCCTCCTTCCCCGCTCCCAGATGCTAGGACTATAGGAGCATGCACTATAGCTCGTGTTGCCCAGCCTCTGTTGGGTTCCACTTGCTTCTTAGAATCAAACATTTTAATGACATTCTCCTTAGCTTTTTGTCCTCCTTGCTGAATTAATTTGCCTGCCTCTAACCTCTTTTTCTACGTTTCCTGGCTTGCTAAGTTAAGCATTTCCTGAAAAAGATGTTGAGCCAATTTCATTTCTCATTTGTTTAACCAATCAAATCTTCAGTCACTCATCCCTTTGAATCCCTATCGCATTCTCCTTTATATTTTACATTCCACTTCTTTCCTCAGTTCCTTAGTTTTCAATGCCAAGAAAAGCCCTTGCTTATTATTACAATGAGGAAGAGGAGGAAGATGTTTGGTTTTCTGAGACAGGGTTTCTTCATGTAACGGCCTTGGCTATCCTGGACTCACTCTATAGACCAGGCTAGCCTCAAACTCATAGAAATCTGCCTGTTTCTGCCTCATGAGCTTTGATCAAAGGCGTGTACCACCACAAGGCATATGCCACCACCTCCCAGCTCTCACTTATTATCTACCCTTCCCCAAAAATCTTCTGTCTACCTTGTCAATGGGTCAGTGGCTTTCTTACCTTGATCCTACTATGAAAATGCCCTACCTATCACCTTGAATACCTAAATATGAGTTGTATAATGTGTTAGGAAATCTTCTGTGTAGTCAATTGTGAGGTTATATTCCACTTTTTACCCCAGTTTGCACTATTTTATTCTGACATGATTTCATACACACAGAAAAATGTAAAAAATTTATGCATATACACGTAGGAAAAAAGAGCCCAGCATCGTCTTGCATGCCTTTAAACCCAGCATTCAGGAGGCCTCAGAGGCAGGCTGGGATTAAAGGCATGTGCAACCACACCTGGCTCAGCTGGTAGAATCTTTGGAGACACTCATTCTCTATGTAATCTGTTGATAGCTGAGAAATTGTTATGGATCATGTGATTTATATAGCTATAGTTATATACTCACATATTATTCTGGGTGGGCAGGTGGGTGGCTTCTTCTCCCTTGCTTTACAAGAAAATGTGTAAGAATTCCAAATTCCAGCAGTGTTCTTATATGTCTACACATACTCCCAGGTTGCACAGGTTCAACATTTTAGCTGCTTCTCTGAGACACAGTTGATGAAGAAGAATTGTCTTAGGCCATACATTAAATAGAAGTGCTACCTAAAGCTGACTAGAAGAGGAAAGATCTGTGTATATTTTTGTGATTCACAAAGATAAGTCAAAAAAATTGTCACATGATAATCTTAATTATGCAGCACTCCATTTTGAAAAATCTTAAACTTGTAAAGCAGCTCCCAAGTTTGTGATTATTTTGTTGTTGTTGTGTTGTGTTTTCAGACAGGGCTTCTCTGTGTAGCCTTGGCTGTCCTGGAACTCACTCTGTCGACCAGGCTGGCCTCGAACCCAGAGATCCACCTGCCTCTGCCTCCGAGTGCTGAGATTAAAAGCGTGCGCCATGCTGTGCCACTGTGCCCTGCTAAGTTGTGATTATTATAGAAAAAATAAGTGCATCTAAAAAATACAATTGATTTAAAAAAATGTTTTTATTACAAAGGTAAGAGAGAAGAGGGCACAAAACAAGTGAGCTATTTGACTTTGTATTTGAAACTAATATATCAATTTCTGGGTCAATGGAAGTAGTTGTCATTCTCAGTGAGTTCTCAAGGTATCCGTCTTGGCTCTCGTTTTTTTATTCTTTATGTGCTTCATTCTTGAAAATAATTCCTCAAAAATGCAGGTGCTGCCAAAAAGTGATGCATGAATTAAGTGTGATTGTGAAGCAAGGGTTATTGTCTTTGGGAAGACAGGACCTAAGAAAAGTTTGGTATAGAGACATGGTCAAATTTTCCTTTAAGTTGAATGGCATATAAAGGTCTATGCATTCCATTTGAAAATTGGCAGGTAACATATACATAAAAATAACTTTTAAAAGACAAAAAAAAAACCATGCCATATAAAAGGGGCTGGAGAAATGACTGAGCCGTTAAGATCCATTGTCTGCTCTCCCAGAGGACATGGGTTCAATTCTGGACACCCACATAACAGCTCACAAACATCTTTAACTCCATTCTTTCTTTTGTTTGGTGGGGTTGGGGTTCCAGATAGAGTTTCTCTGTGTAGCCCTGGCTGTCCTGGAACTTGCTCTGGAGACCAGGCCGGCCTTGAACTCAGAGAGATCCACCTGGCTCTGCCTAAAAATGTGCACTACCACACCTGGCCTTGTAACTCCTTTCTTAAGGAATACAACTTCTTCGGGCCTCCTTGGGCACCAGGCACATACATGATACATAGACATGTATGCAGGCAAAACATCCATATACATAAAATAAACTCTTTAAAAATTTCAGAAGGTAAGAGCTATAGAGGAGAAATATTATGGAAAAAAGGAAGTATCTTCAACGCATGGTGTTGGCATAACTGGATGTCAATATGTAAAAGATTACAAATAGATCTATATCTGTCACCATCACAAAACTCAAATCCAAGTGGATCAAAGACCTCAACATAAATCCAGCTACACTGAACTTGATAGAAAAGAAAGTAGGAAGTATTCTTGAACACATTGGCACCGGAGACCACTTCCTAAATATAACACCAACAACACAGACCCTGAGCACAACAATTAATAAATGGGACCTCTTTGCAGCGCGGGAAATGTGGCATAAGGAAGACCCACTCCCTGGTGCTGCTCATGGGGGGCCCAAATCCTTCTGATCGAGCTTCCCCCCCCAAAAAAAAAAAAACAGTGGGATCTCTTGAAACTGAGAAGCTTTTGCAGGGCAAAAGACACAGCCAATAAGACAAAAAAAACAGCCAACAGAATGGGAAAAGATCTTCACCAACCCCACATCTGACAGAGGATTGATCTCCACAGTATATAAAGAACTCAAAGAAACTAGACATCAAAATACTGAACAATCCAATTAAAAAATGGGCTAAAGAGCTAAACAGAGAATTCACAAAACAAGAATCACAAATGGATGAAAGACATTTAAAGAAATGTTCAACATCCTTCATCATCAGAGAAATGCAAATCAAAACGACTCTGAGATACCACCTTACACCTCTCAGAATGGCTATGATCAAAAACACTAATAACAGTCTATGTTGGAGAAGATGTGGAGAAAAGGGAACACTCCTCCACTGTTGGTGGGAATGCGAACTTGTACAACCAATGTGGAAATCAGTATGGTGGTTTCTCAGAAAATTAGGAATCAATCTACCTCAAGACTCAGCCATCCCACTCTTGGGCATATACCCAAGGAATGCTGATTTATACCACAAAGATACATGCTCATCTATGTTCATAGCAGCACTATTTGTAATAGCGAGAACCTGGAAACAACCTAGATGCCGGTCAACTGAAGAATGGATGAAGAAAATGTGGTACATATACACAATGGAGTACTACTCAGCAGAGAAAAACAATGACAGCATGAAATTTGCAGGCAAATGGATGGAACTAGAAAAATCATCCTGAGTGAGGTAACCCAAACCCAGAAGGACAAACATGGTATGTACTCACTCATAAGTGGATTCTAGATATAAAGTAAAGAACAATCAGACTACAACCCACAGAACCATGGAGGCTATATATATAGCATGGGGGACCCTAGGATGACTATGGCTTATAATAAGTTTTGGTTTTATTCAATTACTGAGCAAACCTCAGTGAAACATTTCACTATTAAGATAAGAATTTATACTATATCAAGCTGATAATAGAAAAATTAATTAATTAAAAAATAAAAAAATAAAAGAAAAATTTAAACTACTAAAAAAAAACCCAAACAAACATATTTTGCTAAAGTAAAAAGGGGGAACTAGGGATTCATCATTCCTCTCCACATTCTATTCTTTCCCTTGTTTTATATATTTTAAATTTTTTATCGGTGGATTCTGCTGGTGTATCCGCTGCAGATAAGCACTGGAGGGCTCCTGTTGCAAATCACCCTCTGAAGTGATGGAAGGATCTTTCTACTGACACTTGGAGGAGACCCAATCTGGTGTTGGTGTGGACCCAGGGTTCTGTTTATGTCTTTCCTCAGGACAAAGAGGATCCTCTTTGGGTTCCTAAGCGCTGAGTGCACCCTGTGGCTACTGCTGAAGCCCAACATGGCACAGACCTATTAGGTCTCCATGAAAAACTCTCCCCTTCTGATGCCAATGGGGATTGCGAGCCCAATATGGCCAACTTTGGCAAGCATTAATGCAAGCCTAGGAACTGTAGCCATGTGGTTGGATTCTCCAGAAGGTAATGTATGGTAACTGCTTTTTCAAGTTTGTTTGAGAATGTGTCACCTAGACACCTTGGAGATTAAGGATAACCCTGAAGGTCACTGACCTCTATCTGTTAACAGTTGCATGCCAGCTAAGCATTTTCATTTTCAAAATCCTCTTCAAGCTGGTGTAACACATACTTTTCAGGAGTGGCTCTGTGCAACATTTATTGGCCTCCTGTAATTCACTTAGCCTCCTTTGAAGATACCTTAAAATTTATCAGCCTAGCTGGGTGTTGGTGGTGCACACCTTTAATCCCAGCACTTGGGAGGCAGAGCCAGGCAGATCTCAGTGAGTTTGAGGTCAGCCTGGGCTACCAAGTGAGTTCCAGGAAAGGCACAAAGCTACACAGAGAAACCCTGTCTTGAAAAATCAAAAAAAAAAAAAAATCAGCCTTAAATGTAGCCATTATAAGACCATTACTTATGCTCCTTGTGAGCTGCCTGTTTTTTCTTTATGGTTCTTAGTTGTTCTTTTACAGAGATGCCTGATTAAGTCGTGCTGGGATCAAGAAAAATGGACCTTGGCGGTTTGTATTCCTGGAGTTGTAAACATGTCAATGGATGCCCACATACTCCAGAAGAGAATTTGACATTGCTGCTGCTGTTGTTGCTGTTATAACAGAGGCAGCCACCACTGCTACTGTTTCTGGGATTACCATTTCATAATTGCTTACTACAGCTAGCACAGTGAAGACTCCAGCAGCAAAAGTAGCTACCACAGTTAATTAATCTTTCATTCCATTGGGCATGATAAATTTAATTCAATAGTTATATACATTTCGATTGGCTTTGAAAATTATAAATTTATAAACTCAAGTTCCATTTGCCTTTGGGATACCATCTTACAAGGACTCCAATTTTCAGTAAGGCTCGTTAAGCAAGGGAATGGCTCAGTTGCCTTTAGCCTACTGACTATGGGTGGGATAGGACCTCTGTTGGTCTTTCCTGTGTCGAACACACAGATTGCAAGCCCAGCACCACTTTGAGATCTTTGGCAGCAGTTAATGGTTGAGCCTGTATGATAATGAGTATTCAGAGACGGGTAATACCTGGGGGGCGCTCACCAACCTAAGACAGAGTGCCTGTGTGGCCTGGGCAGGTGTCTCCATGACGGGTAAGGTGACCTGCTGACATACCACACAACCTAAGTCAGAAACTCATTTATTAGTAAAAGGGGGACCTGTAGGGCCCTGGCCCCCATTTTGGATAACTGTTGCCTTGCTTGCTGACCTTGACCTTGATATCCTCCCTATGATAATTCCCTCCTGGGTTTCACCCTCTTGAATGCTTAAGGGAAGTTCCTTGTCTATGTATCCTGCACAATGGGCATTAACAGCTTAGATTGTAAAACATCAGTAGTGAACTTCTGCCCTCCGGGGTTCTCCCATTGTGCTGTAAGCCTGTATTCAAGACCTCCTCCTGCTGGGCGGTGGTGGCGCATGCCTTTAATCCTAGCACTCGGAGGCAGAGGCAGGCGGATCTCTGTGAGTTCCAGGCCAGCCTGGGCTACCAAGTGAGTTCCAGGAAAGCCGCAAAGCTACACAGAGAAACTGTGTCTTGGAAAAAAAAAAAAAAAAAAAAAAGACTTCCTCCCTCCCTCCTTCAATAAACAACATTCGGCACTTAAAAAAAAAAAAAATCTCATGGTCGATTCACATTAAAAAAAAAAAAAAGAGTGCTTAGGACAGTGTCTGGTTCAAAAAATACTGATGTAAGTTAAAAAAAAAACCAACTAATCAGCCTACTGTGTAAAAAAATCACTGTTATGTCTCAGGCACTCTATATATCTAGAAATGAACTCAAGCTGAATTGTAAAAGGATTTCTGGTGGTTAGATAAAAGCCAGCATTTCTCAGGTGTTGTAGAATATTATTATAAAATGTTTTATATTTGTTTATGCTGTGGAGTATCTGTTTAATGATGCAAAGGGGTGTTACATTCTTTTATGCTGCATTTGTTTAACTCTGTGAAGCTGTGTTACTGTGCCAGTCTAAAACACCTGATGGTCTAATAAAGAGCTGAACGGCCAATAGTGAGGCAGGAGAAAGGATAGGCGGGGCTTCAGGCAGAGAGAACATATAGAAGGAGAAATCTAGGAGGAAAAAAAGAAGATCAATGAATAAGAGAGGAAGGAGGAGGACTTCAGGGGCCAGCCACTCAGCCACTGAGCCAACCAGATACACAGCCAGCCACGGAGTAAGAAGGAAAGAAAAGGTCTGTTTGCTGGAGAAGTAGTTGAGAGATCTACATTCCAATCCACAAGCAGCAGAACATTATTCTGAGCCCAAGTCTGATGGGGATATATCCAAAAGTGAAGCGTTATGCTGTGGTGGTTTGGATAAGAATGGCCCCAGAGGCCCATGTGTTTGAATACTCGGTCCTCAGTTGGTAGCACTATTTGGGAAGGATTAGGAGGTGTGACTTTGTTGTAGGAGGTGTGTTCCTGGTGCCTTGAGGTC